CCCAATAAGGACCGTCTCCTAACGGGCAACTTGCATTGGACTAACAGTTTAAATGGGGCCACTTTTCATAGAATGTCATTTTGACATGAACGAACAACTGAAGACCTGGTTACTCATACTTTGCATGGCTGGCATTCATTTTCTCAAAAATGAAGTTAGTCTGTCACTTCGAGGAAAACAGCTAAGTGTTTTGCCAATGATACAGTTTGAGATTTCAGTTGAAAAGTTTAATTTCCACAGTGAGCTTGACAGCTTCCTAATACCTGTAACCTTTCGAATGATATCAATGTGGTGATATTAGGAAGGGCCACTTTTTGATATTGTATAAAAATCCATCAGACAGTTCTATACTTTCTGCATTCAACCACCAAAGATTGTTTTTAATCCTCACCTGAGGGTATGTTTATTGATTTAGAGGGAGAGGAAGGGGAAGAGAGAGAAACACTGATTGGTTGCCTCCATTATGAGTGCTGACTGGGGATCAAACCCGCGACCTAGGTATTTGCCCTGACCAGAAATCAAACCTACAGCCTTTTGGTGAACGCATGATGCTCCAACCAACTGAGCCACCTGGCCAGGACCAAAGTTTTTTTAAAAGAACTCGAAAAGAGTGTTTTCTTATATTTACATCGATACCATTTCTGCTATTCTTTCATTCCTAATTTTCCAAGTTTCCTTCTGATATTTCCCTCTTATCTGGAGGAATGTTTTTCAGCAATTCTTTTAGAATATGTCTGGTTGTTGCAAATTCTCTTAGTTTTCCTACATGTGAGGAAGGCTTTATTTCACTCTCATTCCTGAAGGACATTTCTCTGGATGTAGGATTCTGGGCTTAGAATTTTCTTCTTGGCAAACCTTTTGCCACTTCCTTCAGCCTTTATGGGTTCCAGTGAGCAGTCCGCTGTCACTAGAATGTTTCTTCATCAGCAGGTTAGGCATCATTTTTCTTCAGCTACTTTCAAAATTGTTACTTTGTATTTAGTTTTCATCACTTGATTTTGATGTGTTTGGACATGGGTATCTTTGGCATTATCCTGTTTGTTCAGCTTGACTCTGTAGCTGTGTGTTTTCACCAAACTTGGGACGTTTTCAGACATTATTTCATCAAAATTTTTTTCTAGCACGCTCTCTTTTCCTGTGGGACTCTGATGACAGCATATGAGGCCTTTTGTTCTTGTCCCAAATGTTATGGAGGCTCTATTTAGTTTTCCCCCTTTTTCTCTCCGTTTGTCAGATTGGTTCATTTCCATTCATCCGTCTTCAGGTTCTCTCTGTCTTTTGTCATCTCCACTCTGCTATTGGATCTAGCCGGTGAGTTTTTTGTTTTGGTTATTTTTAGATTTTAAAATGTTTGATCCTTAACATAGTCTATTTCCTTTTTAAAAAAGATTTTACTTATATTTAGAGAGAGGGGAAGGTAGGGAGGAAGAGGGAGAGAAACATCGATGTGTGAGAGATACATTAGTTGGTTGCCTCTCACACACCACCAACTGGGGACCTGGCCTGCAACCCAGGCATGTGCCCTGCCTGGGAATCGAACCGGGAACCTTTTGCTTCACAGGCCAGCACTCAAATCCATTGAGCCACACCAGCCAGGGCTAATATAGTCTATTTCTTTACTGATACTTTCTATTTTAGCTTTTGTTTCTAGAGTGTTCTTTGGTATGCCAGTTAGCATCCGAGCCCAAGAGTTCAGAAAAACTTAATGGAATTGCTTTCCTGACCTCATCCCTTTTCACTTTCTTCCCCATACTTTCCAGTTGCCTGGGGTTCCTCATTTTAGTCCTCCGGCCAGAAACCTCCCGTGTCAGGTGAGAAAGTGCCCACTTCCACAGCTATGCCACAGTAACGGGCAAAACCAGAAAAAGCAGTGGATGCTGCCCCTGCCCTCTGGGAGTCAGAGCGGCCCTGATGGAAGGGAAGTGCTCTCTCCCGGTTTGGGCTCCTGCTTTTCTATTCCCAGCCACTTTTGCTTCTGCACTGCTCCTGCCGCACGTTTATTGGGAGTTGGGTGCAAGGGAATTAAGTAAAAAGGAAAGACAGAAAACATACTAATTTTCTCCAATCTCTCCAAATTTTAGGAGTTGCCATTTCTGCTTTATAAGCCAGAACCAGAGGCTTTCTCCAGTGTGTCTTTCTGCCCCCTGTACCCCACCCCACCCTGGTGCTTGCTTCCTGGCTTTAGTCTGTGTGAGTTCAGACTAGAGGAAAAACAGGAACAACATGACCAGTCAGTGGTGCGAGAGTTGGTGTTCTTTGATCTGGTGTCACTCACTTTTCAGGGACCCCAGACAACTGTGCAATGGATTCTTGTCAGGTTCTCTAGTTGTGTTCAGTGGGAAGGAAAAGTTTGCATGTGTTGGCTCCACCTTAGTGGGAACTAGCCCTCTTGTCCCTTTTGGACTCTCTCCCTCATTAGCTTTTACAGATTCTCTGTTCTTTACAAAAATTCCCTCTCGTCCTGCAGCTACAGTTTCCAAGAGCTCAGCTTGGGCTCTCTTGTCTGCGTGTTCTCTCTCGGAAGGAACATCCTTTTCCAGAGCATCACAGGATCTTCTCAGGAGATAATTCCTGTATACAGGGAATCCTGACTAGGGTCCTCTCACCAGAGATGTAAAGTCCTGCTGGGTATTAACTTGGATGCCCACTCCATTTCAAACTTAAAATGTCTGCTCTCAGTGATGCTGCTGTGGTTGCGCCTGAAATACCCCTAAAGCCATGTCCAGCCACATGCTGGCATGTGATTCTCTGTTCCTATGTCACCATGCTATGCAAAATCACCAAGAAAAACCAAGGGGCTCGTGGTAAAAATGGGGTTAGGCACGACACTCAAAAACTCTCCAGTTTAAAAGAGACAAGAACTCAAAACGGCAACACAGTTGTACACATTTCGGCTGTTGACCTTGGAAACACCTGAGGCTTGCATGTGGGAGCAGGCACTGGAGGAGGCGTTGCAGCTTGGGAGTTACCGGGAGCTGATGGAGGGAGGGTCATCCGGAATCGATCTGGAAGTTGCGACACCCACCGGATGTGGACGAATGTGGCTCAAACGCCCACGGGAACTGAAGACGCTGGCAGATGTCAAAGGGCTTGTGTGTGTGCTTCGATCGTTCTCTGCAGTGTGGCTCTGTGCATTTCTCAAATGATTTCTCAATACGTCAATCTTACTGCAACAAACTTGCTTTTTAAAAATGTGTTATAGCAGAACTGACTGCATTTTATTCATTTCTTTCCTCATTTCTTGCCAGTAAACTCCTGATTTTTTTATTCAAAGTTTCTCTTATCTCCTTTTACATTCTTTAAAAGCATTATTATTTAATGGGCTTGTTTCAGGATCCTTCCATATATATCACATATTGATACCAGGTTCATCTTTCATGTATGTACACACATATGAAGTAATACATGTTAATTACATAAACATTAAGAAATACATGTGAACAAAAAGAAAATTTAAATTATCCAAAATTTCATTCCATATATAGTGGTTATCACCAAAATAGAATTTTTATATATAGTGATTATACAGAATTAATAAAATTAATAGAACTTTACATGTCATGGTTATATATAATTAACAGAATTTTTGTATATAGTGTTTTTTTAAAAAATGGGATTTCCTCTCCACCCTTAGCAGTAGGTTATCAATACCCTTTCATGTCAGAGTATATAGATCTATAGCATCTTTCTTTTTATTGTGGTAAAATACACATAACAATAAATTGACCATTTTAACCATTTTCAAGTGGCATTATGTCACCAACATCCATCTTGAACATTTTCATCTTCTCAAAATGAAACTCTGTACCCATTATACCAACCGCATCATTTTTAATGGTTTCGTGGATGTAACTTCTTTCAGAAAGCCTTATTGTTAAACTTTTAAGTTTCTTTTTTTTCCTGCTACAAACATCCATTGTCAACAACACTTCAGTGAGCTCTCTTGCACATTCAATTATTTCCGCATGGTGAATTCCTAGAAAGGGGATTTGCTAGGACCCATTATGCACAGGTGGAACTGGTACAGGTTGTGCAAATTTACACTCATGCGTGGGTGTGGGGAAACGATTTTTGGTAATCTTTGCTATTTGCCAATCTGATAGGCAAGTAGCTTCAAGTTATTCTTAATTTTCATTGTTTGGATTACCAGTACAGGCTCGTTTTTTTAACGTACATCACCGTAGTTTCTTGATTCCAAACTTGGAAAATGTGTCAGTGTGGAAGATAACACTTCTGATTTAAACAAAAAGATACATCATCCTATGCCGAACTTTCAGTGTCGCAACCTTTCCTCAAGCATTTTCCATCGGGTACAAACAGGGGTGGGACCTGTTGAGCCTTCCGGCTTCCTGCCCCCTTTCCAATGCTCCTCCTTGGGGGCCCTTGAACCTGAGAAGCTCAGTGTTCTTGCTCCGGGCTAAGCCTCTTCCTTTCCACCAGTGGTTCTCAATCTTCACGACATCAGCATTGCCCAGAGGCCTGGTTAAGCACAGATTGACGGCTCCAACCCCCTAGGTCTGGGACGGAGCCGAGAATGTGCAAGACTAGCAGTTTCCCTAGAGGTTTGAAGCATCATCATTTGGTCTGAGGACCACCCTTTGTTAACCATGACTTTGCACCGACCTGGAGGTTTTTAAAGGGTCTATACGTTAGAGCTCCTCTCTACCGCACCTAGCACCAGGCTGGCTGCCTGAACTAAAAGTGATAGGTCAACACATCATCTACGCTTGTAGAAAAGAAAGCAGAATAGGAGAAGGACCAGTCGGTGCACCTGGGCTGGAACCTGCGAGGCGCTCAAACTCCTTTGCGATGCACCGTCCAGTCTCCGGGGGCCGCGGGCGGCGGACACCAGGGCGGCGGACACCAGGGGGCAGACTCGTGCTCGTCCTGCCTCGGCTTAGTTCCGGCCGCGCAGGCGCAGGAAGCTGCGTGCCCGGCCCTGGGTCGCAGGTAGGCTCGGTGGATTGAGGGAAGGGTGGGCAGAGAGGGTTTGGAGGGCTGTGGCTGGGCGCTCGGCGAGCGAGGGACAAGTGCTGCGGAAAGGGTGCAGAGGGCAGCTCGGCCTCCTGCGGGGCTCCTCCCTGGCGCGGCTCGCGTCCCTCAACCCCGAGCCCTGGCAGTCCCGTGTGCCTCTTGGGCTGCTCGACCTGAGTCCAGCTGGAGGCCACGCTGGCCCGGGGCAGCCGGCGCCCACCTTCCTGCCCGCTCTGTATCTTTCCCGGAGCGCAAGCTGGACGTGAGCTGACATAACAGGCTTCAGGTCCTTCTCCCAGGCATTTATTCTGCACGTGATCATTCGTGCCAGCACTGCTAGCAGCCTCTAGGTGCAAGCTCTGTGTTAGGTGTAAACGAATGCTGCTCTTTTTTATTGAGCCATTTTATTTAGTAGTCCTGTCTTCGCCATCCCTGATCTCTCCTATATAGAACTTAAGGCTAAGTCAGCACCAGGAATTATTTTAATGGCATTCCACTCTAAAGTGTATTGAGTGACAGTAATCCGTGTCTTCTCTGGTTATATAAAATTTTGTAAGTTAGTAAAAACTAATTTTGTTCCATTGCTTTTCTTCATTTCTGAAGTTAAACTGTGAGTTTAGAGTGGTGGTTCCCAATCTTTTCCCCGCTTACCAGCTTTTTCCTATGAATGCCAGGATTCCTTTTTCTCTAAACAGTGCCTGAATTTCTCCTTCCCAGCTGGCCCCACAATTGTTATTCCTTAATGTGCTGGGTTTTTAATTCATAACTAGTGTCTTTTTGGGTTATTTCCGGGCAAGAAATTTCCTTCGGCCACACGGCCCTGGGCGGCCTTCTCCAGAAACTCGCGTTTGAAAGAAGAAAGCCCATCAGGTGTTGAGGGGGCTAAAAAACCTTCTTTAAGAAATGGACTTATGTGGTGAAAATGAAACACATGTATGGGAATTAAATGCTCCAGTGATTCTTGAACTTTGATGTGCATCTAAATCACCTGGAGAACTTGTCAAAACAGATTTCTGGGGCCCACCTCAGAGTGTCTGACTGGGGAAGTCTGGGGCGAGGTCTGGAGCCAGAACTTGAGAACCTGGGTTTTTCGTGAGTTCCCAGGCGATGCTGCTGCTGTAGGTCCTGGGACCAGAGTTTGGGAACTGACAACACCAACCTGTGGATGGTGATTACGTCCTGGGAGGGGGCAGTGTAAGTAAGTCCCTTGGGAGGGGTCCACAGGGCTTCAACTATGTGTGTGATATTTCATATCTGTAAAAAAAAGGTCTTTTAAAAATGCGATGCAGTGTTACCTGACAAAGCTGAGCGGATGTCCTATTTTTTAGTTTTCTCTGTGCTTGAAGTATTTCAGGAAAAAAAAAGGCCCGGCTTGCTGTGCGGAGAATGGGTCAGAAAAGAGAAAGTGGGAGATGGTGTAGGAAACTGTTGCAGAAGCCCAGGTAAGAGACGCTAGCGGCTTAGGCCAGGGATGGGGGAGCAAGGAAGGGGAGAGGCGAACAGGTCAGAGAGACATTTGGGTGATAGAATGGACTGGGTGCGGTGATTGGTTGGTTTAGCGGTTAGGGAAGGGAGGAATCAAGTCACCTGTTTTGTGAGTTGCGGGAGTGGGTGTGCCGTGTGCCCCTCACAGAAATGGAGCCCTGGAGAAGAGGCATGTTGTGGACAAGGAGAGACACAGCCCAGACCTGGAGGAGCCCGCTGAGTGAAGCATAGAAAGATCTGGGCCGCTGTAGAGACTTGGACATCAGTATTTACGTGGCTCAGAAAGCCATGTTCCTGGATGAGATTACCTAGAGGGAATACAGGGGAAGGAAATAGGGCCTGCAGCAGACCCAGAGGGGTAGCATCTCCTGTGGCGGGGCGGGGCCAACTGCTGCCCCACCTGTTTTTGTATAGCCTCTGAGTTAAGTGCTTTTTTTTTTTTTTAACCTTTTAAAATATTGGGGCAGGGGAGTTAAAAGAATAATTTTTTTGTGACACGTGAAAACTATGAAATTCTAATTCTATGCCTGTAAGTAAAGGGTTTTTATATACAGACATGCACATTTGTGTATGTAGTGTTTGGGGCTGCTCTTGCATTCGGTGACAGAGTTGAATAACTGTGACACAGACACTGCGTGACCTCTCATCCCTTTGCACAGCTGCTCAGCACACCACAAATCACAGTGATGCTGCTATCTCAGTTTCGCCCTCTGGCCCCTCAACCTAAAGAGTTACCATCTGGACCTTTACAGAAAAAGTTGGCTAGTCCCTGACCTGACATCTGAGTGAAACACACTTTGTTAGCTTTCACTGAGGTAGAAAAGAGAGGGCAATTGCTTTACTCATTTCTTTAAGATCAACTTCCGAGGATCAGGAACAGTGGAAGGAGCTCAAGAGCCACAGGGCTGAGTGGTGAAAGTCACTGTAGTTTCAGTTAAAGTCCTTGAAGATGACAGAATGGACTGGAGAGAAAGATGCAGGCCCGGAATCTGCATGAGAAAGGGGAGCAAGCCACATCAGCTGGTTGCTAGGCAGAACTGGGAAGACTGAGGTGGTGGAGTGAGCAGATGGCATCATTTCAAGAAAAAGAGGTTGACGAGTGATGCGGAAGCCAGGGTTTCCTGGGCACCTCTTAAGGACAGTAGAGACAAGCAAAGCAGCCCTTTCTTTAAGTGAATAGGAAAGACACAGAATTGTGGAAGAATCTGTTATTTCTAAAGTTTTCTGCTTGGAGAGGAGCAGTGGCACTTTGTCACCCTTGACCTGTAGCTTCGCTGGCCTGGGTAATGGGAAGAATAAATAGACCTGCCGTTTACTGAGAATGCAAACACTGTGAGAACAGCAATTTGGGCGGGAAAGAGCAGGCACTCGGTTTGGGGAGTATTTTTATCTTTTAAAGTTGAATATTCACATACTGTAAAATTTGCTACTTTAAAGTGTACAACCAGTGACTTTTAGTATACTTACAGCCATTACTGCAGATTCTTAAACATTTCATCCAGAAAGGAACCCCGTATCCACTAGCAGCCACTCCCCACGCCCCATCTCACCCAGCCCATGGCAACCACCAGGCTGCTTTCTGTCCCTGTGGATTTGCCTTCTCTGGACGTCTCATATAAGTGGAGTCCGATTGTACATGGCCTTTTGAGTGTGGACAGGCAGGTTTTTTCAGTCTTTAGCTAACACTGCCGTGAACATTCTTCTACAAGTGTTTATATGAATGTGTTTTCTTGGGTATATACCAAGCAGTGGATTTACTGGTTGATATGGTAACTTTTTATTTAACCTTTTAAGGACCTGCCAGACTGTTTTCTACAGTGGCTGCACGATCTTACATTCCCACCCACAGTGCTTAGAGTTCTTGTTTCTCCGCTTCCTTGTCAACACTTGCTATTGTCTGACTTTGTCTACAGCCATCCTGTGGATGTGTGATGAGGTTTGTATTTCCCTTGATTACTCATAGGGTTGAGCATCTTTCCACCTACCTATTGGCTGTGCGTACATCTACGTTGCAAAAATGTCTCTTCAGGTTCTTCACCTATTTTAAAATTGAGTTATCATATTTTTATGCTGAAGACAAATATTTTTGAGTTGTCCTTCAGATATCTAAATAGAGATTTCAAGGAAGCAAGTCTAGACGTCTGAGAAGGCTGGACACTTGGATGCTGGCAACAGGTGGAGATGGGAGAGCCCTGAGTCCAGATAGATCACCTGGCCCTGTAGGCAGTGAGTGAAGAGGTCAAGTCCGAGCCTGGGCACTTCAGCAGTGACAGAGACTGGGGGAGCCACCAGGGTGTAGCTTCCTGGGAACCAAAGAAGGAAAGCGGTGGAAGGAGGAGGGAGCGATCAGCCATGCCAGATGCTGCTGAGGGGTCAAGACCAGGACTGTGAATCTACTGTTGTGTCTACCACTGTGGAGGTCACCTCGACAGGGTCTCTGTGGGCGGAGTAGCAGTGATTTCAAGAGAAACGGGACAGAGGTGGATATAGTGAGTATAGAGAGTTTTTAAAGGAGTTTGCAAAAAGGGAAGAGAGAAATAAGGCAATGAGTGGAGGGGAAATAGGGTGATGGGAGGGTGTTTGAGATGGAGGGGGAAGTTAGGGCACGCTGGTCACCATTCAGGAGAGGGGGTGCCCTGCTGTGATGGTGCCCACAAGCAGGCGGGCAGGGAGGGGTCTGCGCAGGCTTGGGGCTGAGTGGCCATCGGGTTTTGTTCAGAGTCACAGAAAAGACGGGGTAGGGAGCGGGAGCCTGCAGTGTGGTGTGGGCGCTCAGGGCAGTGCTCTCTGATTGCTTCTGTTTTTTCAGGAACATAGGGAACAGGAGCGTCAGCCGAGAGAGAAGGTTGGGGTGGGGGTGATACAGTTTGAAGAGAGGGCGACCCAGGCCATGGGAAGGAACCTGTCAGTTTTACTGACCCACTGCACTGAGTGACCAGCACAGCGTTAGAACCTGGTGTCTCAACCAGGGAACAGAGAGTTGATGCAGAATTTGGGGGGCAGGCGGCATTTAGGCAAAATCGAAATGATGTTTTCTTTTGATGGGCTCAAAGGCAAGCGGTGCAGTCTGTAGAGAGGTCAGATCTGGTGTGGATCGCAAAGAGACCCCAGGGTTTGGTTTCCTGGGAGACTGCAAAGTCACGTGGATGTTCAGCATCGTCTCCAGACAAGCTGATGGGGCTTCACGGCAGCGTCTGGGAGGCAGGAGGACTTGCCTGCAGCCGCCACACCGTTCTGGGACTCGAGAGCCGGAGGGACACCCGGACACAGGGCGGAGTCCTGGGGGAGGCGAACCATTTCTACTGTTGCCATTGGTCTGTGTGCCCAGTTTCAATGTTTTTAACAATTTTTTTGGCGCTTTGTGGCAGAGTACTTTCTAACCAGTGCCCGGGGCCAACCCAAACACGGACTGACCCAGGTGTCTAGATGGAGACCTGAACCGGCAGAAGGAGGACGTACCTGGGAGGTAAAACTTTCTGTCACACACGTCTCAGAACCAAGAAGTGAGGGTCAGTCCTGTCACCGCTGTCCCCATGCTTCTCAGTGCTTATATTCAGTGGGCACACACTAACTGGTGTGGCCACATCCCTCATCCAAGTACTGACACAGTTCCACTCTGCCTCAAGCACCCCGAGTGTCAGGCACCCGTGTCCAGGGTCCTTCCCCAGCCCTCTCCCTCCCATCCCCTCCCCACCCAGCAACTACAGCTGTGGTGCCCGCAGCCTCACCGCGGTCCGCACCATGGTCTGCACCCCAGCTCCAGTGTTGGAGCCGGTGCCGTGGGTTTGGTGAGTAACCGCGCCGTCGGGGGGTCTCCTAGTGTGCGGTCCGTCTCCGCGTCGCCCTCTCCCCACAATCCCGGGTTGTTGCCAGGGCCCCCTAACCAGCCTTCCACCCCTGCTGGAGAGCAGCCTTTGCTGCTTAAAAACATGAAGGAGCTTTTGAGAACCTTCCAAGGAACATCCCAGTTCCTTAGGTGGGTTCGAGAGCATTCCAGCCCCACCCACCAGCCTAGCGAATCTCCTGCTGCTCTCCTTTGTCCACCTTCTGTCCCAGCCCCAGTGGACTGACATCCGCACTTTCATTGTGGTCACTCTTCACCCATGTGTCCTCAGTGCGGGCACCGTGGGAGACAGTGAGACAGTCAGACACACACCACACCGCCCTTTGGAGGTGTCTAAAGGAGATGAACCCGGACTACGGTGTGTAACAAAACATTCTGATTCCGAGAGCAGCTGACACCGAACGTTTAGTACGAGCCCAGTACTCAGGGCCTTCTCCCACCCTCTCGATGACACGGAGGTGCAGGATCCTTGAGAACAAGAGGCATAGAGGGTATGTCACCTGCACCCCTCATCGTCCAAACACCGGAATGGGAATGCAAACTGTTATTACATGTTCCATTTTATATTGTAGGAAGTTGCCCAGGACACCGGCATGGAAAAGAGGCCCCAGGATGGCAGGAAAGGCGCCCCCGCCAGAGAAGTGTCCCCCGTCCTGGGGCTGCTGCTGGCCATGGCCCTCATGAACGTGCTCCTTTACCTCTGCCTGGACCGGCTTTTCGTCTCCCCTCGGCGTGCTGCTGCGGGCCCCGGTCACTGTCCCTACGGCTCCTTCAGAATGGGACCGATGAAGACCTGCTCCCCGTGGCTGTCCTGCCAGGAGCTGGGGACAGAAGTGAGGCAGCTGAAGCGCGTGGGGGAGGGAGCCGTGAAGAGGGTGAGTGCCTGCTGAACTTCTGTGCAGCAGCCTCCATTCGAGGGGTGGTTCAGGGGGAAGCAGCCTGGCCTTTGGTGTTAAAAGCCATCCAGGTGTTTGTACCCTTGTGCCCAGCAATGTCACATCTGGCACTTTACCTGATAAAATAGTCCAGTGGAAGGAAAAAAGCCAAATGCTTAAATGGTTACTTTGCTTTGTTTTTTGTAGTGATAGCAAATTGGAAAGAATAACGATAGGGGGACGGTTAATTAAATTATGGTGCAAGCACTTGATGGAATATTCTGCAACCATTAAGTGTAGTTAGGAACCTGGGCAGCAATATGAAAAACTGTCACGATGATAAGTGAAAAAAACAAAATATGAAATTGTTGGACATACTGTCTCCAACTGCAAAATTATGTACTTATGTAGAGGGCTATGGGCAATGTTTTCACTCTTACTATTCCAACTCTGTGATGGTATAGTGGTGTTTAAGTTTTTAATTTTACTAAGAGAAACCAAAGGGGCGAATTCACTTCTCAGACAGAAGCTTCAGGAGCCCTTGTCTCATCAGCTGGGGGTGCGCGTTGCAGTCCGGTGGCCGTCATTTCTGTGGTAACCGAGGTTTACTGATGTGGCCAGTGCAGAGATGCGGAAGAGAGACAGTTCCTTTGTGAGGCTGCACTGAATGACCGATATAGAGAAGGAAGGGTAGCCCTGGCTGGTGTAGCTCAGTGGATCGAGCACGGGCCTGTGAAGCAAAGGGTCACCAGTTCAATTCCCAGTCAGGGCACATGCCTGGGTTGCAGGCCAGGTTCCCTGGTAGGGGGTGTGTGAGAGGCAACCACACATTGATGTTTCTCTCCCACTCTTTCTCCTTCCCTTTCCCTCTCTATAAATAAATAAATAGATAGATAGATAGATAGATAGATAGATAGATAGATAGATAAATAAAAAATTAATAATAAATAATAATAAATAATAAATAAAAATAATAAATAAATAAATAATAATGATAATAAATAAATAATAAATAAAAATAAATACAAAATAAATAAATAAATTTTTTTTTTAAAAAAAGAGAGAGAAGGAGGAGCAGAAAATGTATCCGTGGGCCTACAGCTCCATAAAGAGCTGGTCCTTATTTTGGGAGACCGGGAGCCTCGGCTGCTGATCCCAGGTTTGCGGAGAGGAAACATCTGAAAGGCATCCAGACAGGGAGAAGGGACAGGCATTTAAATAAAGTAAAACCATAAAACAAGGTAACTGGCTCCGGTAAAGGTCCGCTTGTTCATCGTTATGTGTCAGGGCTGTGACGGCGAGTGAAACAAAGGCCCTTGCAGCTTGCCTTCCAGTCGGGGAGTCGGACAGTCAGGGCAGCCAGAGCGGAACGCCATGAAGTGTGTCCGTGCCACGCACTGTGAAGACAGAGCAGAGCAAGTGGCAGGCTTGTTGCTCCGGGTGGCAGAGCCGTCTGAGAGCGAGCTGTGTGGACGTTTGAGGAAAAGATGTGCCAGTAGGAAAGCTGGGGCTGGCAGAGGCCCCAGGATGAACTTGCTTTGTTGTCTGGGGACCAGGAAGGACCAGTGTGTCCGGAGGGTGGATGAGGAGGAGAGGTAGCAGTAATGGAAGGACCTGAGGTGCCCGGTCCGGCAGGACCCAGGCATGTGCCCTGTCTGGGAATCGAACTGGTGACCTATTGGTTTGCAGGATGATGCCCAACCCACTGAACCACAACAGTCAGGGCTCCTGGACCTTTTTAGATAGGTTATAGACTTAGATGTTAAAAGCTCTGGATTAATAATGCCCCAGGTGGCCTTTTTACTTAAACTGTGAAGAGACAGAAGCCTGCCCTTTGTTTTCTGCCTCTCCTTTGGGGATGTAAGCTGTTGATCAGAGGCTCTTAATTGCAGTGCTTCCTGCGCGCCTTTGGAGCTAAGAACCATTGAGAGCCCCAGGCAGTGCCGCATGGTTTCTGGACACTGTGTGCAGGACGGGCTGGTCTGGTGTGTGTGGCGTTTCACCTCCTGCTTTTACAGCTGAAGTGACACTAACCCACAGCGCCCTGTACAAATGTTTATTTTACACAGGACTATTGTTGTGGTTTGCTGTGCTACTGGTTAAAATTAATGAGGTGTCTTGTTATGTGTGATGGGCTGGCTGGCTCGACCCCCACGTAGGGTTTTCCAGTCTTCTCTCCTCTCCCACCCTCTCCCGCTTCGTGCTGCAGAATTTGGGAAGTGGCAGTCGGCCTGCTACTCGGGGTGATACACAGTCGGTCCCCTCTCCTGGGCACGCGCTTCCCCTGCTCCATATCACCCTGCAAGCCCTGATCATCCCTCAGAGCAATTCCCAGGAGCCCGCTGGCACCCTCTCCAGATGGCCCGCAGCACCCTGACCAGAGTCCGCCCCTCCCCCCTGCTCCCTCCCTGGGCTTTCCTTGCCGATGTGGCACTTGCCTTGTTGGGCATCTTGTGTTTGCTCCTAAGTGAATCTTTGTAACTAGACTAAGAGCAGCCCTAGGGCTGGCTCTGTGTCTCATTAATTTCTGTGTGCTCGGTACCAAATCCAGCACTTAAAAGATGTGGGGTTGTCGCCCTAAGACAGGTGATGGTCTTTGGTCATTTCAGGTCTTTCTGTCGGAGTGGAAGGAACGCAAAGTCGCTCTCTCACGGCTCACCGGTCCGGAGATGAAGGATGACTTCCTCCACGGACTGCAGATGCTGAAGTCTCTGCAGAGTAAACACGTTGTCACGCTGCTGGGCTTCTGCGAGGATGACAACACCATTCTTACTGAGTATCACCCCTTAGGATCCTTGGGCCGCCTGGAAGAAACGTTAAACCTTTCCAGGTACCAACATGTGAACACCTGGCAGCAGAGGCTGCAGCTGGCCATGGATTACGTCGGCATCATCAACTACCTGCACCACAGCCCCCTGGGCACGCTGGTCATGTGCGACTCCAACGACCTGCCCAAGACGCTGTCCCAGTACCTGCTGACTAGTAACTTCAGCATCGTGGTGAACGACCTGGATGCCTTGCCCCTGGTGAACCGCAGCGCGGGGACGTTTGTGAAGTGCGGCCACAGGGAGCTCCGTGGGGATTTCGTGGCTCCGGAGCAGCTGTGGCCCTATGGAGAGGACACGCCTTTTCAGGATCATCTCATGCCCCCGTATGACGAGAAGACTGACATCTGGAAGATCCCAGATGTCTCCAGTTTCCTTTTGGGGCAGGTCGAGGGGAGTGATATGGTCCGATTCCATCTGTTCGATATTCACAAGGCCTGTAAGAGCCAGGCTCCTGCAGAGAGACCCACGGCTCAGGACATCCTGGACACTTACCAGAAGGTGTTAGATTCACTGAGAGATACGGTGATGTCTCAGACGAGAGAAATGCTCTAAAAACGAGCGCAGTCAGTGAAGGGATTTAAGGAACACGTGGAGCAGTGACAGCAGTGCTGCTCTGACAGTGAGCTCGCGGATGCGTAGCCCCGGGGCTCTTCCTCTGCACCCACGTGCACACGAGTGTCCTGTCCCTCCTCGGCCACCTGGGCGGCACTTGCTAAGCAAGAACAGACCAGGCTTGAGTCTGGGTTTGCTTGTAACAATAATTCTTCCCAGGTGAAGATGCAGAGAAGCAGCGAATCTAAACCGTATCTGAAGGAAGTAACAAAAATGTAGGTACAAAGAGGCTTTCCCTATCCTAAATAATTGAGTTTGTAAGCTTGTAAGAAAGGTAGATAGAGAAGATTTTTAAATGGCAAAATATGAAAGAAATAAAGCTCTGGCCAGGTAGCTCACTTGGTTAGAACACTGACCCTGATACTCCAAGGTTGTGGGTTCAATCCCAGTCAGGGTACACATAAGACTCAAGCAATGAATGTGTAAATAAATGGAACAACAAATTGATGTTTCTCTTTCTCTCAAATCAATAAATAAAAATTAAAAACATGGTGTACTTCCCAAGGAATTTTTTTCCTCGTTTTTTTAGATGACGGTCAACATTCCGTGTCATGGGAGTGTTTCTGGTCTGTTTTACTGGCTGCAGGTGAGGCCATCTTTACTGTCTTGACCTGTTGAATGATTAATCTGTTGAAATTCCTGTACCATCGTCCTTCCTAGGAGCTAGAGGAGAACTATTAGAACACGCTCTTTAAAATCGCGAATGGATAAGGAATATTTAAAACAGCAAGTATGAGGAAAATATGTGTTACTGCCTTGGATGGTACTTGTGTGGAATGCCTACCTACCTTCCTGCTGGGTTTTGTGCGTCCAAAGTTAGTTTTTGTGAACATTTTACATCAACACTGCCACTCACGACTGCGAAGGGTCAAACCCACCCGCGTTGCATGAGTGAATCTCTCCAAAAGTTCTTTCTTTGCTCACTCACCCTCACTTGCAGAGGATGACGGATGTGGTGCGTGCGAATCAGCCCTGCTAAGGTGGCTGAAGCTGACTTCGGGGGCGGGGTCACTGGAATCACGCGGACAGCTTGGTCTTGTCCCCTACTCACCGCGCTTGGTCGGTTGGGCCCTCTGGGTGATGAGAGAAATATGCTTGACACAGTAGTGTTTTAACTGCTGCTTTTCATTATAAAAACTCCGCCACAGCCACTAGGATGGCTGCAGTCAAGCGGACAGACAGTAACAAGCGTTGGTGAGGATGTGGAGAACCGGACCCCTCACGCTGACGGTGGGAAGGTGAAATGGTATAGCTGCTTTAATAATCTGGTTTTCCCCAGAAAGGTAAAAACAGAGCCACCCTGACCCAGCAGTTCCACTCCCAAGAATTCACCCAGGAGAACCGAAAACGAGTCCACAGTCAGGACATTTCACATTTGACATCTCCCAAATATCTCTCGTCTGCTCCAGATTTGCTCTTGTGTTCCGTACATCTGTAAATGGCACACCATCCACCTGATTTTCCAAAGCAAAAAACTGGTTTCTACAAACTAAACTGTACACCTCAACGCACTCTGCTAAGCTCCCGTACTCCTGCCACTGCCCTACAGACGAAACACGAAACATTCTGTCTCTGCGGGAACGTCCCCTGGCCCATCCCGATCCGTCCTTCCCCACCGCTGGCCTCCTTTTTAGAAAGAGGAGGATTTTTTACCCAGAATTTCATATAATTGGAACCATACAGTATGGTATAAACCTTTTCATTTCTTTTTTAATTCATTGTAATTTTTTAACTGTTTATGCTATTATAACTGTCTTGTTTTCCTCCTTCACCCTCCTCCACCCAGTCTCCCCCCTTCCAATCACTGTAATGCTTTTCAGATCTACCCATGTTATCGTTTATATCAGTAATTTATAGCTTTTCATTGGTCAGTAATTTTCCATCATGTATATATATATGTACCACCAACCACCTGCTGATGGATATGGGGTTGTTCCCAGTTCGGAGCTATTATGAACAAAACTGCTGTTAACATTTAAATAAAGTCTTTTGTCTTGGGTAAATACTTAGGAATATCTCAGTAATCACATGTGAGCATATGTTTATATTAAACTTCTAAACTGTTTTCCAAAGCATCCAGCAACATGTAAGAGTTTCATTTGCTGCACACATCACAGCCAACCCTTGTTACTATCAGCCTGTTTAATTTTAGCTCTTCTAGTGGGTGTGTAGTGGCATCTCATTGTAGTTTTATTTTCCTTTTTCCCAAAGATAAATGATGCTGAGAACCTTTTCATGTTTATTGGCCACTCACATGTCTTCTCTGGTGAAGAGTCCAACTCTTTTGTCTATTTTAAAATAATTTGCTTATTATTAAATTGTAAGAGTTCGTTACTTAACCTGGAATGAAGTCTGTTACCAGATTTATCTTTTGCATTTTTTTCTCATAGCCAGAGGCTTGCCTTTTCATGTTCTTACCAGTGTGTTTGTTTATTTTTAAGTGATTTATATATCTGCTTAAGAAAGCTTTACCTCACCCAAGGTCATGAAGATTTTCTCCCTTATTTTCTTCCAGAAGTTTTATAGTTTTAGCTTTTACATTTAGATCTAGAATCTATTTCTAGTTCAGTTTTGTGTATGGTGTGAGGTCAGAGTTAAAGTTCACTTTTTTTCCCCATATGGGCGTTCAATTGTTCTAGCATCATTTATTGAAAAGATTATTTTCCCCCCATTAAATTGCTTTGGCAACTTGGTGAAAAACCAGTTGCACGGGTTTACTTTTAGGCTCTCTTACTTTATTGATCTGTATTGCCACTCATACCAATAACACACTATCTAAATTACTATAGCTTTATAGTACATCTTGGACTCAGGTAGGGCGAGACCTGCAGCTTTGTTGAGCTTTCTCAAAATCATTTTACATTTCCACATAAACTTTAGAATCACTTGCCAATTTTACACGGGTAAACATACACTCAATAAATGACGGTCTGGAATTTTGATTTGGGTCCCACTCACTCCTTATGGATCAGTTTGTGGAAAACCAGCGTCTTAACAGCTATGGTTCTAATCTATGAACATGGTAGATCTTCCCGACAGTTTAGGTCTCCTTCAATTTCTCTCATTCATGTTTTTAGGGTTCAGATCTTATACCTATTTGGTTAAATTTATTTATGTATTAATTTAAAAAATTCTATTGTAGCCTTGGTCAGTGTGACTCAGGTGTTCGTTGAAGCATCATCCCTTAAACTGAAAGGCTGCGGTTTGATCCCAGGTCAGGGAGCACACCTGGGGTTCAGGTTCGGTCCCTGGTCTGGGCACGTGTGGAGGCAACCAATCAATGTTTTTCTTACACAGATGTTTCTCTATCTAAAAGCAGTGAAAAAATGCCCTTGGGGTGAGGGTAAAAAATAAATTCTATTGTAAATGCTATTTTTAAAAAGTCAAGTTCCAAGTTTGTTTATATCTAGGATATGAAAATACACTTGATTTTTGTATGTTGACTTTTAATTCTGTGACCTTATTAAATTCATTTACACATTCTCGAACTTTTGGGAGGTGGGGGGAGATTCCTTAAGATTTTCCGCACATTCTTTCATGCCACGCTTGAATAAAGCCAATTTGTATACTTCTCCCCTCTTTTTCTTGCCTTTTTGCACTGACCAGGACCTCCAGGACAATGCCGAATAGAAGCGATAAGCGTGGATTTTTTGTCTTGTTCCCCATCCAAGGAGGGAAATAGTCTTTCAAGTATCATATTAGCTGTTAAGTTTAGAGTTTATCTTCCCCTACTTGACACTTACTTCATATGCATATATCCCTAAACAACATATAGTAGTATTTTTCTTGGCTTTACACTTACACGTAAGTTATTACAAAGGCAGTTCTGCAACTTGCATTTTCCCCTCTGCCTTGAGTTTCATCCATTTGGATACACGTACCTCTAGATCATTACTACTGCTGTATACATTATACCACAACTTATCCACTGCCTCTACTGCTAGACATTCAGATTTACAGGGTTTTGCAATAACAAACCATTCTGCTACAATCGGTATTATACATGTCCCTTTATACGTAAGATAGTTTCTCCTATCACATGGCTGGGAGTGCAACTGCGGGGTCATCGTGCCTGCTCCCCTTGAACTTTATGAGAGACTGGTAAAGCTCTTCAAAGTGGTGGACCACATGATGGCTTTGAAGTCTCATCTTTCTCTCCGGATGGTGACCGTCTCGGGATGAGGCTCTGCCTGTCGTACTCAGCCTGACATTTCCAGAACAGTGGACAGAGGACACCCTTTATTATTATTATTATTATTTTTTTTTTGGTATGGTGAAAGGCATACAAAATTTATAGGAATTCGGCAGAAAGATGCTCAGGGCGCGAGCATCAGAGACGCGAGCAGCGGCTCGTGACCCGCGGAAGGCCTCTTCGGACGTTTCCCAGAGGACAAACAGCACTGAGCAGCGGGGAGGAAATCTTCGCCCTTAGTCCGCTTCCCGGAGCCTCGGGCGTAGAGCGGCCCGGCCCTCGGACCTTCCCGCACCGCCGGCGCCGCCCCTTCCCCCGCCCCCCTCCCCCACGCGGGTGACTCAGGCGGCGGTGACGGCGTCCCAAAGCGAGGCTATGACGGGCGCGCGGCCGTGCGCCGCGAAGCGGCGCAGAGCTCGAGAGCGTGGCCGCGGCGACGGCAGAGGAGGAGGAGCGGCGGCCGAGGCTGCCCCCCGGCGGGAGCGGCGGCCGGTGGAGGCGGCGGCGGGCAGCATGCGCTGGGCGCCGGCCGCGGGCCGGACTCTGGCCGCGCTGTTGCTGGTCGCGTCGGCGCTGAGCGCCACGCTGCTGGCCCCAGGCGGCTCCGTGGAGCGCGGCCCCGAGCCCGCGCCGCCGCGAGGTGAGTGCGCGCCGAGCTCGGGCCCCGGCGGCTTGGTGGACGCGCGCCCCTTTCTGCAGCGGCGCCCGCGGGGCGACGCGACGCGACTCCCCTCCGGGCCTGAGACGCTCCGCGCGCGGGCTCTCGGCACCGCAGCTCCCGGAACTGGGGCTTTTGTTCACACCCGGCGGCGTGAGCTGCGAGGACCCGGCGTCCTGCGCGGTGGCCACGCCGTGCTTAGTGGGTGGGGGCAGCATCCGAGCTGCTCCGACCCAGGCCGAAAGCGCGGCGCGCGTCCCCGGGGGTCGAACTGGGTGCCGAAAGGCCTTGCTGGGCGCAGGGATTACACTGGAGTGACGGGCAGCGCGGGGAGGGCGGCGATTACAGGCGTTAAAACTCCAGGTCCGATCTCAGGCGAACCTCCCCCCGCCCTCACCGCCCCCCCCCCGGGCTCTTCCGCAGCCTCCCGGGGTGGGGGGGCGGCTTTTACTTAGGAGGCGCCCGGAGGAACAGTGGAGGTTGAGGTCTGCCGGCGGCACCCTGCGGTTTGCGGGGACGCCACTGAGGGAGCTCTGCGGTTCGCAGCCTGGAGGGGTTGGCCGGGTTGTTTTTGCCGGGATGGGGAGTGATTCTGCTGTGCGGCCGGGAGAGGCAGTCAGCTCATCTATTTCCGTAACTCGTCTGGTCTCTGAACTCACCGGGGCAAATGTGAAAAATGCAAATTCCAGAGTCTTTCTCTAGACTTCTGGAACGAGGATCCCAAGGCGCTGTCCTGGCGAGGCTTCGGTCAGGGTTTGTGGGATCAGCCAACTGTAGCAAAACCTGAGAGGTCAGCGTTTGGGGAGAGTCACCCACCTCTCTCCTCCCGCCTGCCATCCCCTCTTCTGTATCAGAACTTGGGGTTTTAGTGTCAGATTGCCACTCCGCCCGAATCAGAATCTCGTCCAGTACGACAGAATAAATTTTGAGAAAGCATCTTATTTGATTACATTTTGTATGCTGCCTCCCCCACGCTGGGGCTCATCCCTTCTCTCCTCTCCTTTGATAATTTGAGGAAACAGCTTCTGAGAGGTAACATAATGTGCCCAGACACAGTTGTCAGGGACAGATTCGTACAATGCTCTCTTTTTGTGTTTGAGCACCAATTCATAATCGTAATTATTTTAGGAAGAAGAGGTAGTTTGTAAATAGTCATTGTGGGAGTGGGGGAGAACATAGTATCCTTAAGTGATGCACCTCAGAATCTTCACCAGGCTGTGTGGAGAGGATACCCGGACTTGCACTACTACCTGGAGCCCAGGTTTGGGCTGAACAACTACCTACAAAGAATTGTATCTTCATAGGTGATTTGAGGACTCGAGTTTACTTCAAAAGATAAAAAAAAAAAATGAGCAGAATATGTCCTTTAAAATATTCCCAGGAAAGACACTTCTGAGCAGAGAGCTAGCACCAGAAGTGAAATATTTGGAAATGGAATAAAAGTTGAATATACATGCCCTGGCTGGTGTAGCTCAGTGGATTGAGCACGGGCCTGTGAACCAGACAGTTGTGGTTCGATTCCCAGTCAGGGCACATGCCTGGGTTGCAGACCAGTTCCCTGCAGGCCTATTCCCAGCAGGGGAAGCACAAAAGGCAACCATACATTGATGTTTCTCTCCCTCTCTCCTTCCCTTCGCCTCCCCTCTAAAGATAAATAAATAAATAAAATCTTAAAAAAAAAGTCTAATATACAAACAGCACCGTTACCCAGAACTATTGAAAGGTGGCTTTATTTGGTTTATTTCCTCACCAAAGCATGGTAGACAGGGAGAAGAGCAAGGCATTGTTCTTTTGTAGAAGATGCTCCTTGAGTGTTAAGCTTGGTATTTCTAAAGTCAGCTGTGTCTGAATTTGGCTGCTTTCTCTTGAAACTGAGCATCAGGTTCAATTCCAGTGTCACTGGAGAGCTTAGGAATTGCATCCTTTGTGCGTTTCAGTAATACAGACTTGTTGGCTCAAAAAAAAAAAAAATTCGTTCACATATAAAGTACAAAGTAAAAAGTACAAAGGTGTCAAAACCCCCTGGCTTTGCACTCAGCCTCTCTAGCTGTTGTTTTGACCTTGGCTGCATGTTAGAATTATTGATACTTGAGTTTTTGTTGTTATTTTGGGAAGGAAGATTTAAAAATCTTGCTGGTTGGGTACAGAGTCTGATTCTGTTGCTCTGAAATGGTGCTTTAGTTTGTTTATTTTTAGCCCTGAAGGAAGTTTTCATATTATGAAATAAAGAGGTTATATAATTGCCTTTCTAGTTAGTTTCCCATGTTTTTCCTTTGCCTAGAAGCTAGGAGGTAAATTAATTTCTCCTTCATATAATGTAATAGATGTAAATGGCCCAGTTGGTCTCAATGAAGTATTTTGTTTTAATTTTAGTTAATAATAGTTCCCTTTGCTTTTCTCCACATTTGGCAAACTTAAATTTAGAATTTGCATTTCTTGGTGGACTTCTAAAAGCATCTAATAAAGTGGGGAGCTCTAAGCTTATCTTCCCTCTTACTCCCCCCAAATCTGCTGTGGAAACTAGAAGGAGATTCAGAACTCCAAACCAAAATGATACAAGGCAGACTTTTAAGGGCACACAAGTGCCCCAGTAGGTCTGACCTGCTCATCCCTACCCAGCAGGTCTGGAGTTCTGCAGGTCTCATGCTGCCCATACCACACTCAGAGCTGAGTAACATGGTCAGAGAAAGTTTGGGCTTTTGAATCTCCCAAATTGAGTTCAAAATAGTTCAAAATATTTCACGGAAAAACTCTGGCCATGGGCAATTATCTAATCCTCGTGAACCCTAATTTCTTCATCTGTGAAATGGAGAAAGTACCTAGCTCATGAGATTGTCTTGTTATCAAAATAGAAGATACATGGAAACTGTTGTACTAAATTCAGTGCCTGTCACATCTTAGCAATTGATAAATGCACACAGTCTTTTTATACACTGGTTGTGGATGGTGTCAGCTAAGTCCTCATGTGCAGTAGAGACACGTGTGCAAAGGGGATCTGAGTGTGTGTCACATGCATGTGTGTGCATGTGTGTGTGTGTACACATAGAGCAAGGCACCAGAGACCCTAGAATGTGGGTGTTTGAGAAGCACTCCTGTGAAGCCACCATTCACATGGTGTACTTTGTCTTTAACGTATTTCTTAAGTGCTTTGTTTTTCTTTTATTTTTTAACCTTTTTTTTCCTAATTACTAGGTTTAGACAAAAAAAGGCATGTAGAGCTGAAGATGGACCAGGCTTTGCTGCTCGTCCATAATGAACTACTTGGGACACACTTGACCGTCTACTGGAATTCTGAGCGCTGTTATCACGTAGGTATACTGTTCACATTCACAGTTGTGTTCACTTTGGGGATGGCTGCATATGCCCCTGATGCCCTCACACCTGCTGTTTTATCAGAAAGGAAACAAACAGGCTGTAGAAGCAGAAGAACTGTAATGAGGGAGATGCCTAGCAAAGAGCAACATTTGTTTATCTTTTCCACTGCCCATTAAAAAAAAAACCAAACCAGTTATCAGTGATGGGCGGAATCAATGCAGCATATTTTGTCTTTCTCCTTTGCTTGTGCCTAATCCTCTTGCTGGACCAGAGGAGGGAGTGAGGCACCTGAGTGTTCTCCGAGGGCAAGGGCGGTGAGGACAGTGGCGAGGTCGTGTTGAGGCTGGTGGCAGTTTCTCCACGGATCTGCCTCTCTGATGATGCAAATAATTTATTTTATCTGAAGGGTTCACTCCTATCCTAGGCCTTTATGCTTTTTTTAAGCATGAGGCTATTCTTCTGTGTAGAATAAAATATTCTTATTTCCAAATAAAATCGAGAGCTTCAACTTACCACCTTTGGAAGAGGACTTTGAATGTACAGTGTCCTCCTAGAATGGGTACCAGCCGAAAAGATGGAGGGATACGTGATGCTCCGTCTGTTTGGTTAAACCTATGGAAAGCTTGGTAAAGTGATGTGAAACAAAGAAATATTAAAAAAGCTCAGAAAATATTAAATTATACTTAATATTTAATAGTAAACATTTAATATTAAATAGTTGAATTAAATATTCATATTAAATTATAACACTTAACATTTTAATATCAAATATTTTGTATTTAATATTAAGTATTTTAATACCTATAATGTTAAAAAGTATAGCTTACGCCCTGGCTGGCATAGCTCAGTGGATTGAGTGTGGGCCTGCGAACCACACGATCGCGGTTCAATTCCCAGTCAGGGCACATGCCTGGGTTGCAGGCCAGTTCCCAGCAGGGATGCACAAGAGGCAACCATACATTGATGTTTCTCTCCTTCTCTCCTTCCCTTTCCCTCTAAAAGATGAATAAATAAAATCTTTAAAAAAAAAGTGTAGCTTACAACAAAGAAAAGACTTAGTCTGCAAGAAGGACCTAAAGAAAAAACTGAAAATAAAGCAACAATAGCTGAATTAGAAAGTTAGAGTCATAAAGAGAATGAGAAAAATGTCTAATAAAGGTCTAAAATCATTGGAAAACAAGTGGAGGGGAGAAAAGGTATTAGCCATAGGTAAGAGTAAGGGCATCTTTAAAATAAAAATTAAAAAATCATTGGTACAAAAATAGCAATACTAGTGACAGACTGAAGAGTCAAAAAACAGGAAAATTCACTACTTAAGACTAACTCAGGAGAAAAGAGGCGAAGGTTTTTAAAAGAGCATGGAGATAATTATATCTAAGGAAAATATATTTCATAGAAAAACCTTTGCTCTGGCAAAAGAAATTCTCATGAAAAGTTGTATTCAAATGTTCCCAATAATAAAGGTCATGGTAACAGAAGTTGCAGCTGCTCTTCCCCAAGGGCCTCTTCTGCGTCTCAGAGATGCTATATCTCATTTAGTCCTCACAACAGTTTGGTAGAGAGGTCATCCTAGGATTCTGCAAGTGGTGATGCTGACATTAAGAAAAGTAGTGACTTTTCCCTGGTTTACCCAGCTGTTAATATGGATTTATATCCCTCTGTTCTTAGGACCCTGCTTTATGTTAATCAGAAAGAAAAGGGAACATGTAAGGCTACTGAGCAGGGGTCTCAGGGTTTTGGAAAGCACAGTATCATCATCCAAACAAAGAAAAAAAGAAAGCACTAAAAATGTTAAACAAGTGTGGAAAATGAAAAAATTCAAATGGAACGAATCAAGAAATGGTATTTTAAAATAAAAGCCACACAATTGGTAATTTATTGGTAAATTTAAGAGCACAATGGAAATTAATGAAATTAGAAATTAGGATATATCACCGCTATAATTGAAGTAAGTATGAACCAGTGAACAGTTACAAGCTGATACATTCAGCATTCAAAAATTGATTGATTTCCTTAAAAAAATACATGAAGGTTGATTTAAGAAATTGAGAACATTAATAGATCATCAACTGATGAAGAAATCTGGGAAGTTATAATGAATTCCTCTACTCAAAAATAGGTAAAGTTTTCTACATTTTCAAATAGTAATTCTCAATCTCTGAATTGATTCAAATGTAAGTACCTCTCACAAATGATTCTTGATACTGGATTAATTCTGCAATATAGACAGGATGTGCATCCTCAGACTTGGCAAGGGTATGACAAGAAGTGCACACTTTTCTAATTGATAGGGGTTCAAAAATCTTAAATACAGCCCTGGCTGGTATAGCTCGGTGGATTGAGCGCGGGCCTGCGAACCCCATGATCGATCGCGGTTCAATTCCCAATCAGGGCACATGCCTGGGTTGCAGGCCAGTTCCCAGCAGGGGACTCATGAGAGGCAACCATATATTGATATTTCTCTCCTCCTCTCCTTCCCTTCCTCTCTAAAAAGAAATAAATAAAATCTTTTTAAAAATCTTAAATACAGTTCTGTTAAGGAGGCTAAGTTAGCATTTTGAAAGACTTATTTATGTTGACATTTTTATCCTTGAGGAATCTTTAGAGCTCATATGAAAAGAAAATGATGAAATTTTAATGGGAAATGGAGGTTAAAGGGAGCGATAGCCAATGCTCTCTGATAGGAAGACTAAAGAGGGAAATGATAGTGCTTCCAAATTTATGCATTTAACACAGTTGCTGTTAGTATATCAGTGGGTATCTTATAGAATCTGCCTGAGTAATTCCCAAATTTGTATGAAAAGGTGAGCGAGGGAATCAAAGAACCACCCAAAGGGAGAAGGGCATCGTGGGACTTGCTGGACCAGGTCAGATCTGTTTGGAAGCCACAGTTGTTTCTGTGGGCAGAACACGGGGAGTGAAGACAGGACCAAAGTAAGTGTGGGAAGCAGAAACTATTATACGCAAGAATTGAACATATTACAACTCAAATCATGGGGAAAAGTGTTTCAAATTGTTACATACCATCTATCAAATGCTCCGAGTGGATTCAAGTTTTAAAAAACTGCCACAAGTTTAAAAAATACTAGAAAAGGCAGGATAACCTGTTTAAAGTAATGAAGCAATAGAAGAAATGACAAGCCAGATTAGCATAAGTATATAAAACTTTAAATGAATTTAAATGAGCAAGAGCATCTTGTGTAGATCTTTTAAAACTATAACATGTAAATTATAGATATATTATAATTAAGTTATAATTTTTTAAAACTAGAATTTATATAAATCACATATAAAAAGATAAACTTTGAAAGCAGCCTTAAAACTCACAATGATAATATTTCGTGGAATATAGTGCAATCATTAAAAATTATAAATATGCAAATTGGGTACAATCATGGAAATATATTTGTTAAATCATAATCAAAACAATAGAATACAAGATGCAGTGTATGCTCTTATTTGTTAATCATGTGAAAAATCTACCCATGAATAAAGGTCTAGTTCCATAACAACACCTTTAGGCAGCATCCACATTTTATCTAAATTATTGACATTTTAAAGTTTTTCCATAACTATGAAGGAGAAGTCATTTCCGTAAGTGTGGAAGAAAAGAAAAAGGCCTTCGGTTGGATATTCTTGCCCTGCAGCCACCAAGATGCTTCCCAGCACCTGATCCGTGCGCTGTGTTTTCGTTCTGCAGTGCTTGCCGCAGGCTCTGGTGAACGTCTCCGGGAGTGGGGCGCCCGGGAAGCCCAGCATGGCCGCCGCGGCCGTGAGCACCCAGCACCGCTCCGTCCTGCAACTCACGGACACCTTGGAAGGAAAGGAAATTTGTAGGTTAGTACCCACTTCGCTGTGACCTGCTGAAGGCTATTTTCTCTCTAGTTTTCTTCTTGTTTGGTTTTTTTTTAGCTTTTTTTCCTTCAGAATGTTTTTTTGTATCTTTCCTGGTCTCCAGCCAGGAATGCCTATTCTTCATGACATAACCAAAATCCAACTCCTTTTTTTCCTAATCTAATCCTTTTTCTAAATTTTATCTAATTTTCACAGGCTGGAATACAAATTTGGCGAATTTGGAAACTATTCTCTCTTGGTAAAGCACACCCACAGTGGAGGCAGCGGTACTGCCTGTGACCTGGTTGTCAATCAGAATCCGATTGACAGCGACCTTCGTATGTATATGCTCTTTGTGGACTTCAGATTTGCGTTTTCAGATGTTTTACTTTTTCAGTGCTGTTTGCAATACTTTGTGTAATTTAAAATCTGGATTATAGGTTATCTGTCTCATAATTATGGTATATTTATTGTGTCAGTGTTACTTAAAATACCAAGAAGATTATGTGTATATTAAAAAATTATATATCCACATAGTCTCTTAGTTGTTTAATTATGAAGCATAAATAAGCCAAAAAACTTAAGTTAATGCCATGGAAAGAAACTGTCCAGTATCTTTCCTTGTTTTTGGATTCAGGGTCTGCTATTTCCTGTACGGGTGTGATGTTTTAGTCCAGAGGTTAAGAAGGGACCGTTCATTCTATAAAAAGGCCACTGGAGAGAATCTGTCCCTGTGAGCCCTCCGTCAGACAGTAAGTCCCTAGGGCATCAGCAGGCGTTGCTGTCAGTGAAGCTGGTGAGGACTGTGGGGTCACGTCGTAAGAACGTGAGAGCCGGTATGAAAGGGCCAGTGTGAGGCAACGCGAGTATTAAAAAGAATAATGAGTGTAACAGATGGGAGCACATTGAATATACAAAAGCCCAGTGAGTTCAGTGGGACCCTAAAAAGAGCAAGGCCTCTCTCCCCAAACGAGAACAAGAACAGCACTTTGGTTGCCTTTGGAGGCAGTAGCACACCTGATGTTAACTACCCTGACATAAAATTGTCCATTGAAAGGAAAGATTTAAGTATTTATCCTGTTTTTCCTGTATTGTAGGATAATTAAATAGCTCTAGATGGACAGGTAAATTATTTAGAGAAGAATTCCAGTTAATAGATGGCAGAATGACAGAATACTTTGCAACCCCTAATGAAATAATTGCTGTAGGCAAAAAATCATGAGTGGATGACACCATCAGATGAAATGGGAACTTCACGTGGGACGGGTCCTGCTTTCTCCAGCCGAACACGCCGGCATTCATTGGGCAGGTGGTCAGTGTTGGGGCAGCTTCTGGTGCGGTGCAGTAGGAAAGACACAGCACCTCCTGTGAAGTATTCTTCCCGAAAGTTGCTTTCTTAGTTAGGCCCTTACAGACTTCCCGTGTGCAGAACATGTGGAGGCCGGAAGAGAGTTCAGTGACACCCGAGGAAGCACGCTGACGGGTCTGGAACATGGGGCATTCTGATAGAGGACAGCTGCCCTGGGGTTTAGCTGCAGCCGGTGGCCGCTCACGACTGAATGAGACTTAGGACACAAAACAAGCAAATGCATGATGTGAACCTCGTTTGGACCCTGATTTGAACATACTGACTACAAACAAGCAGCTAGGAAATACTCGTTAGTTTTGTGTGACATTGGGGGTCTATCACAGAAGATTCAGTTTTAAGAAACTTTAAAATTCTGAAATAGTTTTAGACTTCTAGAAGCAGTGCCAAAAAGTATTCCCATGTACCCTTTACCCCGTGTTACCAACGCCCTAAACTATATCGCCATAGAACAGCCGTCCCATGTACAATTACTGAAACCAGGAACCTAACGTTTGATACGGTGCTGGTAACTGATCTACAGACTTTTCAGTTTTCCCCAGTTGTTCCTCCTGATTTTTTTTTCCGGCCCAGGATCCAGTCCAGGTTCCCACGGTGCATTTACCGATAATTGTCAGGCTCCTTCCTCTCCTCTAATCTTGGGACAGTTCCTCCGTCTTTCTTTGTCTTTCCTGCTCCTGACACTTTTGAAGAGGACTGGCCAGTTGATTTGTTGTTTGGATTTACTTGCTGTTTCCCCAGGATGAGGTGCAGGGCGTGCTGCTTGGTAGACTCCCACAGCAGTGACGGCGTGCCCTTCTCGGTGGGTCGTGTCGGGACGTGCACCATACTAATACGAGATACAACCGAAAGTGTGGGGAGAAATCACGTGGTGTCTGGGATTTGCTTAAAAACGCTTTAGGAAAAAAAAAAAGAAGGGACAGTGGTAATACATAAAGCAAGAGTGACAGTATTCTGATAATTCTAGAATTTAGGTGATCGGTATTTGTGGGTTTATTGTACACTTCTGTGTATTTTTGTGTATGTTTGGTGTTTTTCATGATGAAAAACTGCGCTCCCCTTATGAAGTGTTCTCATTTGTTTATAGGAAATTTACCCGAAGAATATAGCCTTTTCCCTTATTTGTTTTAATTTTTTTGCATTTTTCATTTATAGATGAACAGTAATTATGTGACAGCTTTGACTCTTATGATGGTGTTTTTGGTGACGACATCTTTTCTGTTATTTTTGTAGCCGTGTGCATTGCGTTCCTGGTTGGTCTAGCGGTCATCATTGCCGTGTGCTTTCTGAGGTTCTTGTTGAGGTAAGCACAGTCGGGGAAAGGAGGATATCGAAAAAGCGTATTCAGAGAGGGCAGTGTGACCCACCAGATGACCATCGTTCTTTGATAGAAGGAACATTTAGTGGCGACCACGGTTCGTCCAGGTGCAGGGATTCAGAAGATAATCCCTTACTTCAGGGAAACCATAAGCTAGTTCTAATGGGTCATTGACTTCAATCCTCCCTAATAGCTGAAAAAGTAGAAGCAAATGCTTGAGCAGTAATTTCCTGAAGGAATCTCACATCCTGTTTCATAGTGAGTAGAAGTGGGCTGTGGTGATTTCAGGAGGTGGCTGCCATGCTGGACTTTTCTTCCTTCTCTCTGGCTCTGAGCCCTGAGGCCACCCGTGTGGTCTGGCTGCCCAGCTCCCGCCGGCCGTGGGCCTTTGGCAGCGGAGATGGAGGCCGAGGCGCAGTACCTGCAGGTGGCAGCGTAACCCTTCCCTTCGCGGGGTTAGCAGCAAGGGGAGGGAATTCTGTGGTTAACAGCAATTCTGGTGAGAGTGAATCAGTAGACTGGATAAGAAAAGAAAGTAAAATAGATCCAGGCCTGGTAAATTACCTTTCAAAGGAAAGTTCTTGTATGTTTTAAAAGGAGTAAGATGGATTTTTCATGTGCTCAGCTTGTTAGGGTCTCAGAAAGGTCCACAAGGTTTCACTGGTGAGCCATATCCAAGTTGGAAGAAAAAGTTAGCCTTTCAGTTTGCTGGCTTGGGGAAGCCCTGCAGCTTTGGGGAGTTCATGCACTCTGACCCTCTACCTTTGTGCATTCTAGAAATAATTCCATGTACGAGAAACCTGGCTGCGTACAGGGGTAGGACTTGCTGCTCAGTAGCAAATGTGTAACCTCTCTTTTTTTTCTTAAGATTATATTTAGACGGAGGGGAAGGGAGGGAGAAAGAGAGGGAGAGAACCATCAGTGTGTGGTTGCCTCTCACACGCCCCTTACTAGGGACCTGGCCCACAACCCAGGCATGTGCCCTCACTGGGAATCAAATCCCTTGGTTCGTAGGCCGGTGCTCAAAACACTGAGCCACACTAGCCAGGGCAATCTGTCTGCTTTTTTAGGGACAGAGTATAATCCTAGCAGAGACATTTAACTTACTGGAATTAAGGTATTATTATCTTGTCAGTCTTCGGATGAGATGCAAATACTGTTCCAATTTGTTAGGATTTTTTTCATTTGGTGCCTTTAATGCAAATGTATACATTACATCACTTTCTAAAGTAATTGGTAGCTGATCTCTAGCTCTTGCAAAGGGAGGAAGTACCACCTCACCCCACGGTGGAATCGAAACTCTCCTCGGCCCGTGTTTCCGCCTTTGCAGCCTCAGGCGGAATGCTCTTGTTGGCACAGTGAGAATATGGCTTCTCTCCTGTACAAAAAAAACTTCAGTGCTTTTTAAAAATCTCAACCCTAACATATTTTAACTTCTCCTTTTCACCCTTCCTTAGATGTCTCTATTTTAATGTTTTTCATGCAATAGTGATGTTATCCATGCTGAATAAACTAGAAATAGTTTCGTTGTGGGGGAAAAGGGAAGAAATTAAAAATACATGCATTGCCCTGACTGGTGTGGTTCAGTAGGTTGAGTGCTGGCCTATGAGCCAAATGGTTGCTGATTTGATTCCCAGTCAGGGCACATGCCTGGGTTCCAGGCTGGGTCCCTGGTAGGGGGCACTTGAGAGGCAGCCACACATTGATATTTCTCTCCCATTTTTTCTTGAAAACTTCCTTTCCTTCCCTAAAAATAAAATCTTTAAAAACAGATTTAAAAATATATGCATTGGATATATGGATCATGGTTGGATACTGATTTGAGCAATTGAATTATAAGAAAAACCTTAAGAGACAGGGAAATTAAACTGGCTGTTTGATAATATTAAGGAATTTATTGATAATATTTTCAAATACAATAAAGGTTCTGCGGTTATATTAAAAAATTAAAATATCCTGCCCGGGCTAGTGTGGCTCAGTGGATTGAGTGCCAGCCTGTGAACTATAAAGGTCGCTGGTTTGGTGCCCTATCAGGGCACATGCCTGGGTGACAGGGCCAGGTCCCCAGTTGGGGGCACATGAGAGGCAACCAATTGATGTTTCTGTCTTTCTCTTTCTCTCTTCCTTCTTCTTTCTGAAAATAAATAAAATCGTTAAGAAAATTAAAATAGAAAACAAAAATATAAAGGTTCTTGCCTTTTGGAAATACATGCTGAAGTGTTTGTGGATGAAATGATACGATGTCTGGGAGTCTTCAGAATAAAAGGGGTAGTGGGTGGGAGCGCAGGCGAAGTAAGGCCAGTCATGTGTAGGAACTTGTCGAAGCTGGGACATGTGTCCATGGAGCTTTATTGTGCTTCTTTGTCTACCTCTGCACATGCTTGAAACTTTCCATGATGAAAGAAAGAAAAAGCAAAAAAATCCTATGCATTTGATAATGCAGATGTGCAAAGTTTATGTAAAACATGTGGGAAGTATGCCCTGGCTGGTGTGGCTCAGTGGATAGAGGGCCAGCCTGCAAACCAAAGGGTCACTCACCAGTTTGATTCCCAGTCAAGGCACATGTCTGGGTTGCAGACCAGGTCCCCAGTGAGGGGAGCGCAAGAGGCAGCCGCACGTTGATGTTTCTTGCCCTTTCTTTCTCCCTCTCTGTCCCTCTCTAAAAATAAATAATTAAAATCTTTAGAAAAATGTGGAAAGTAGAGATGTCATTTTAGAGAAAAAGTAGTAAATATACTTATCATTTGTTAATCATGTAAATCAGTATAATATCATCTGGATATCTTTTGGAAGTAAAAAGTACCATCTAGAAAAAAGAACCCAATGTATTAACTATTTGAATTACTCCAAAGTTACTTTCAAACTTTCTCAGTATGCATGTATGCATTTTTACTTAGTTGTAATCAAGTCTGTGTAATGGGTTTTTGCTTTTTGTTTTCAGTAGTTTATATTTGTATTTCTTTGTATGCAGAGAGCCCACATTCTTGTTATCTTATTTTTATTTTTTTTTAAGATTTTATTTATTTTTAGAGAGAGGGGGACATGAGGCAGAAAGAGAGGGAGAGAAACATCTATCGGTTGGCTGTCGCATGCACCCTGACTGGGGACCTGACCTTGAACCAGCCTGGCCACTTTCTGCTTTTGAGCAGCACTGCCCAGCCAGCAGTGCCATGCCGGTCAGGGACGTGCGTGTGGTTTCAGGAGCTGCCTTTCGCCCTGTCACACAGCCGTCATATCCTGTGTTTAGTCATTTTTGTCATGAGTGTGTTTGTTTGAAATGTTTTTGCTATTCTAATTTTAATAATATTATTAATAAGAATTCTAGCCCTGGGGGAAAATTATTTCATTAAACCCTCACAACAACTCTTGAACGAAGGCTCTATCTTTATTCCTGTTTTTATTGATGCTATAAAGGTTGAGCATTTAAAAATACTGCTGCTATAAACTTTAATTTCTACTTGTTAAAAAACTAAAATGTTTAATTCTTTGACTTGTATGGAATATGGAGTTTAAATTAATATAGTTTCTTTTTGGAGGGGAACATAATATTTATTTGTAATATGGCTTATATATATATATTTTAAATATTTTATTTATTTATTTTTAGAGAGAGGAGAAGGGAAGGAAAAAGAGAGGAAGAGAGGCAACATCAGTGTGTGGTTGCCTCTCATGTGGCCACCACTAGGGACCCGTCCGGCAACCCAGGCATGTGCCCTGACTGGGAATCGAACCGGTGACCCTTTGATTCTCAGCCCACGCTCAATCCACTGAGCTACACCAGCCAGGGCGGCTTATATATTTTTAAATTTTTTAATTTTAATTGTTGTTCAAGTACAGTTTTCTGCCTCCCCCCCTATAGACTTTCAATGTGATATCTAGTCATTTTGAAAATTCATCCAAAGAAGGTAAATTTACTGAGGCTTTTCTTTCTTTACAGTTTGGATGACTTTAGTAATTGGATTTCTAAAGCCATGAGTTCCCGGGAGACTGACCGCCTCATCAACTCGGTGAGTTATCAGTATGTGTCACGTGTGGTCAAGGTGGCTTTTTAGATTCAGAATTTGTAATTTCCTGTTTAATAATCTTTACTATCCAGTTTAATTAATCTTATTTATATTTTGGAAGGCGGGGTCATGTGTCCTGTTTTCTCACTAAGGAGCAGCTTTCTCCTGGGTCCTGAGAAGGGTGCCGTCCCCTCCTGTCTCTGCAGTGAGGCTGGGACTCAGGGCTGCCCTGTGAGGCGCGGCTGGGGACGTGTCCACCCCGCAGGCAGCGCCACCGATCGACCCCGCTGGGTGTCGGTATTGAGTCTGTAAATGTGGGGCCTCCTGGGATGGCTAAACAAGTTCTTTGTGCCGGTCCATTCACTGTGGACTGTTTTTGTCCACCCTGCACATAGGTCCTCGTACACGTACAGCAGCCGCACTTACGCACCAGTTCTTTGCAGTCACTGTATCCGCACGGGCACAGCAAGCTCAGCGGAAGGCACAAAGTCAAATAAAGTGAAAATCCAAGCCTCTGGGTGGGATCTGTACAAAAGCAAATTGAAGTATTGTTCGGAACAGTGACCTTTAACTGTCCGCTCTGTTAATTTCTCTCTGAGCAGTGGAAAAATGAAGTTAATTCGCTAGCGTTATGAACTGTCATCGTCCTTCTCCCCCTTTGTCTGAAGGAGCTGGGCTCTCCCAGCAGGGCAGGCCAGCTCGGCGACGATGCCCAGTCCGAAGTGTGGCATCCGTCTGCGGCGCCGTCTCGCCTCCGCTGTGTGGACACCTTCAGGGGGTACGTGGGCTCCTTGTAACACGGTGGGCACAGGTAGTCCCAGTGACGTGTTTACACATGAATGCACTTTTATTGTTGGAGATTTAGTTTACTTATTTATTTCTAGAGAGATGGGAAGGGGAGGGAGAGAAACATCAGTGTGAGAGAGAAACATCCACCAGTTGCCTCTCACATGCAACCTGCAATCCAGCGGTGTGCCCTGACTGGGAATCGAACCAGCAGCCTTTCACTTCGTGGGCCCACACCCAAACAACTGGGCCGTACTGGTCAGGGCACATAAACATACTTTTAAATTAAGGTAGATCTTTTACCTTCTAGGCTAGAAAGGATTTCTTGCTGTAGAAGTAAAGCAGCAGCCTCTCCTTTTTTGAAAACTGCGGTGATAGTCTGTACACTCTGTTGCTAGAGAGGAGTAGTGGGACGTGACCAGAATCAGTTTCTACTGGTATGGAGACCCTGCTGAGTCAAGGTCATTGCACTGGGTCCAGTAGCTAGCCGTGTGTGGTTACTATAAAAGTAGTAGCCGGAAATAAACATCTAGGCATCAGGTCTTCCATTCCTACTCACCAGGGTCTTTTAAACTCCAGTGGTGACCGCATAACCCTGTCCCAGCCTCACCAGAGCTCTGAGTGCTCCTGGCCTGTATCCATGAAGCCAAATAATAATAACAAACGTGATGATACTAATAATTGCGAACAGTCTTGAGTTCTCACCGTATGCCAGGCACTGTTCTAAGTTGTCTTTTTTTTAAGTTTTATTTATTTTTAGAGAGAGGGGGAGGGAGGGAGGGAAACATCAATTTGTGATTGCCTTTCACCTGGCCTACAACCCAGGCATGTGCCCTCACTGGGAATCAAACCAGCGACCCTGGGGTTCACAGGCTGGTACTCAGTCTACTGAGCCACACCAGCCAGGGCTAACTTGTCTCATTTTATTTACTCTCTTAATAGCCCTAGGAGGTATATACTTTTAATATGCCTGTTTCACAGATGAAGAAATTGAACCACAGAGTTAAGTAACTTGCCCAGGCTCACTCAGGGACTAAGGAAGCCAGCCAGGATTTGATTCCAGGCATTTGGGCTCCAGAGTCCCCACAAATTACTCCATTAGCATACTAATGCCTGCATCCCCTGCCTTCTACAGAATCAGCATCAAACAGTAGCCTATCCAGAATTGACTTTATTGTGTTTCTCTCTCTGATTCTCATTGCCGCTTTTGGAGATAACATGTTCACAGGTGGACAGGAACTAACGTTTATTAGGTGCTGCACTTGCCACGCTCTGGTCAGGTCCTGTACCGTACAGCACGGTCACGAGTCCTGGCGGTCCCTCTGGGAGATGCACTCTGTCTGTCACAGAGTGGCGCACTGGGGTGACTGGTGAGGGTTTCGCCCAAGGCCTGACGGCTCACAGGAGAGAAGGACTCAAGATTTGAACCGTCAGCTCTGAGTGTAGTGACTGTCACCTTCCACTGCAGTTCTTTAACTTGAGACACCTAAATAATTAGCACAAAATGGAGAGATTGGAAATGTTCCGCTTTGTTTTCAAGCTGTCCAGTGTACTGAGTACGTTCTTTTTTAAGACTGGATTGTGTTGGCTGTGTCAGCCACAGGGACACTTGGCATGGGGCCCTGATTGTAGTGACGAGACATCGTCACTCCTTGCTCTTTAAGTGTCCTCTTGTGTTGTGACTGCACCTGGTGAAGATACGTGTGTCCCTGGCAGCAGGGCCATTCATTCCCTGTCACCTGTGTGCCCTGACAATGTGCTCCTTCTTGCTTTGCAGGCTGGCTCTCATCCTCATGGTCTTCGTTAACTATGGAGGAGGAAAGTATTGGTATTTCAAACACGCAAGTTGGAATGGTAAGTCCTTCCCTAAAGGTATCGTTGCTTAAGTGGGACCCCTTCAGAGAACTGTGGGCAGGAGAGCCACTCAGTGCCCCCAGGGGATCCAGAGCAGAGGTTCCCAGCAGCCTCCCCAGGGCCACTGAGCTCCTCCCCTGCATAGAATGGCCCTTCGGTTATTTTGTTGTTCGTTCTTTTGTGTTCTGTGGCTCTGCGATGCTTTGCTATGATAACTAAGAGGAAGACTCCACAGGTCTCTGCAGCAGGACTGTGGGGCTCTGCAGAAGATGCTGAGGACTTAGTTGTAAATGGTCCTTGTCATGTTCTAGACATGCCTTTCCGTGCAGCCACATGCACGCCTTCTGAGACTCACGGTCCTCCTTGGGGTGCCCTTGGCCTCAGGTTGGCCTGTGTGGTGCTGAGTGACGGCAGTGAGTCTGCCTCGGTGGTTGGCTGGACAGTGGGTTTTGAGTAGCGCCGCATACAGGTAACAGACTTGTCCACACACTTCTAGTTTGGATCCCCTGGGCCCAGTGCTCTCAGACGACAGACACTCCTGTGCTCTCCAGGCCCAGTGACGGGCCGCAGTGTCCCTGTCTGTGTCTGGTCCTTCCCAGTGTTTTCCTTGGACTCTCAGTTTACTTTCCGTATTTATCAGAATATAATGGGGCCATTCTAGATTTAGGAGGTATATCCCTTTCCCTGCTCTCTTGTGTTTTTCTGCAGGACTGACGGTGGCCGACCTTGTGTTCCCATGGTGAGTTGGCAGGCTGCTACCAGCTCTTCCGTAGGTCATCTCCAGGTTTTCCTTTTTGGCCGATGCTGGAGCCTCTCTCCAAGACCAGCCTTGAACTGCGGGGTCACAGCCTGCATTACCCACAGGCCTCTGCTGTTGTGCGCTCCTTCCAGAAGCTGTGGTACCGAATAATGCCTGTGCTCGGCCTAGTGCTTCTCTGAGGCTTGCACGTACGGATAAGAGATGGGTGATGTCAGAGGGAATGTTTTGTCAGTGTACACATCACATACAAGCTCCTGGAATCCTGTAGGAAATTAAAAATTCTGTGTAAATACCAGTAATCCTGAAAATAAGCGTGAAATCATTTTTAAAAGGAACGCAGTGTATTGGTATCAGGGCATCCTGAGAAGTAACTAACAGGACAGTGATACTCTAAATTACCATTCAGAGTGAGACGGGAGTGACCAATGCTGCCGTTACTCCCCGTGACCTGCTATCTCACTGGGGGACCCCACCTTCTGGTCCAATGTGGAGTTTGTGTCTCTGTTGTGACACTTGGAGCGACTGTGCTCCGTCATCCTTAGGGGGTCATCCTGGCTGTTGGTTCATGCATTTGTTCTGTTTTCATCGCTAACGTGAACTCGGGGCTTTTTGGGGGGGAGGGGTTCTTTTTTGAGGTGAGTTTGGGTCGGAGGAACTTTTACAAGCCTGCAGGCCTGGTAGTTGTGCATCTTCTCTGGGAGGTTCCCTATGGAAAAGGGGCCTGGGCCCTGGTACCCCCAGGGTGACCCCCAGAAGCAGCCAGGGGACAGGGAGGGGCGCAGCAGGAGCAGACCTGGCTCTGTCAACCCTGTGCCAAGTAGCTAGAAAAATTACTCTTCTGACTTTGTAAAAAGAGGTACTTTAGTATGGTAAAGAAAAAAAAGAAAGAGTGTATGGCTCAGACAAAATCAGAAAAAAAAGACAGCTTTCATTTTTCTTCCAGGAGCAAAAGTGCAGTTAGAAACAATTGAAATGTGTGTCTCTTTCTCAGGGACTTTGAGGGTGGGCTGAGCAATGTGGACGGAAGCGTCTTTGTCATCATTTCTCCCTGATAATTAAGTGGGGCCGATGACCCAGGACACTGTGCTCAGCACTGAGGAGTGTCCTCTAAGACAGGACTTGGAGGCGTGCGCACCCTCTGGCCCAGCGGGGCCACATTCTGGTGTTTGCTCCACTGTGAACCTGGCGCCAGCCAGGAATTGGCTACTTTAAAAAATCACATGTTGCGTCTCTGTTAGGAGACTATAAACTATTAATGGTGTATAGACAAAAGCATCTTAGTGGGTACCTAGTAATAGCTTTTTTTTCTTTTTTTAGGTTTGTGTTTATTATGGGAACCTCCATTTTTCTGTCAATGAGTTCCATACTGCAGCGGGGACGTTCAAAATTCAGGTTGCTGGGGAAGGTTGTGTGGAGGAGTTTCCTGTTAATCTGTATAGGAATTATCGTTGTGAACCCCAATTATTGCCTTGGTCCATGTAAGTATTTTCCCCCTCTGTTAGTATATATTCAGGTGGAAGTACAGAAATTATGTATTGTAATTCGAAAGACGTGTAATTCCTCCGTCTCAGGTACCTGCCAAAAGAACAGTTATTAGAAAAGTATACGTAACGCTTGTATAAGCTGGGCCATTATTGTTGTTACACTGGACGTTTGGACCTGGGAGGAGCCTCCAGGGTGACCCAAAGCCGTCTCTTGCCACGAGAGACTGAAGTGCTTTCCCCAGGTTAGCTGAGTGTAGTGAGGGGCAGGGTGGGACCAGACCAGGTCCCTGGGCTCTCAGACCCTGCCATCCTGCCGCCTTGGTTTTATCAGCTTTCTCCATAAGGCTGTCGTGTGGTGGCTCAAGAATTCACCTTTGTCGCCACCAGTATGCCAGCTGGGTGGCGGGAAGGAATGACGCCTCTGTCACTGTTTTAGCTGTGTGAGCAAGATGGGAGAGCTGAGGGAAGGTAAACCCTGTGTGTGGGCCTGGTATCAGAACTGAGGACGGCGGTGGCTGCTGTCCTCAAGGGGCATTAAGCAAAGAGGACACGAGTATCTAGATGCCAGCCAGAGGAACCCGCCAGCCAGAGGAACCTGCTGGCCAGAAGCACTGAGACTTGTGGCGTTGGTGGGGGCAGAGGTCCCTTCCAACTGGGTCGTAAGGGAAGGTGCCACATAAAGGTGATTCAGCGGGTCTCCAGAGGTGGGCCACTGCCCACAGGATGATACATTCTGGGGTCTGTTCTTGGGTTCACATTCCAGGGACACAGTCATGTGACCCGTGGGGCAGGGGGAGTCTGTCGGGGCCTGTGCTGGGGCTGCAAGTTCCCGGTGGATGTGCGAGTCGAGTCCGTATGGTTAGGAGAAAGGGCCAGGAGATGAGCTCTTGGGGCAGGGGAGTCCTTGCTTCATGCCCACAGCCGAGGGGCACACTTTGGTTTCCATCCCAGCCGGCCAGCTTCCCGCCGTGAATGGCAGCCGTGTCTCCTGACTGTATATAGTATTCCCATCTCTGAGATCCTAAAGGAGACTTACTCAGGTGCCATACAGGTGTGCCTCCCCCTTAGAAAAGGTCGTGTTGTCTGGGGTGAAATGAGAAATGCCGGCTAACGTTCGCTGCACTTGTACCTCCCACAGTGTCTTGGGATAAGGTGCGACTCCCGGGCGTGCTCCAGCGGCTGGGGGTGACCTACTTCGTGGTGGCCGTGTTAGAGCTCCTCTTCGCAAAGCCTGTGCCTGAACGTGGTGCCTGGGTGAGCGACGACACCCCTGTTTTCAAACGAGAGAGAGCAGGAAGTGCCACGTGTGGTCGTTGGAGCTTTCTGTAGTTGTGAGTGCGGTACTGCACTTCAGTAGGCTCTTTAATGCTGTTAGGCATATACTTTCTTTTTCCCTGCAGTTTAGTTAGTTTCATTTAGCCTTTGTATCAGTAGTTTTTTTCCCCTGTGGTAAAAAAACAAAACAAACAAAACAAAACACATGAGATCTGCTCTCCTGTCACATTTTTAAGTGTCCTGTGATCAGATGCATTTGGATCGCGTTAATATCACCATCCTCTCATTTGCTAGTTCATTGTCCTCGTGGTATGAGATACATTTTTAAACACTTGCATGACAGGTTAACATCTATTCAGAAGGCAAAGGTTCACCTTGGAGGACGAGTGCCAGGCTGGGGTGGGGGGGAGTCACAGTGTGTCCTCGGCCGTTTCTGCTTCCTGAGGACCACGTGGGTCGCTTCTCTGGTGATTCCTTTCTGTCTTCCTGGAAGTTGCTGAGTTTACCCTGGTGACAGCGATTCCTTTTTCCTGATGGAGGTAATAATTCAGGTGGGAGTGTTTAAGCCCTTCCATCTGGGTCCTACTAAACAATAAATTAATAAAGCTGTACCTGTTTTCTAGCTTCTTTCTGTGCGTATAATTAACAAATTCATCATCAAATCCTAGATTCTCTCGGTTGCTCAGTTGCGTGTTTTTGGAGTGCATTTAATCGTTCCTTCACCTCTTCTGCCTTCCCCGTGGCCTGTGTGTGCCCTCTGTTATGGATTTCCTGAATGTGCAGTGAGACCAGACATGAGCAGGTGAAGCTGGGCGTGGTTAGCCAAGTGAGGGACTCAGGGACTGTGGAGGCTCTTCCAGGGTCTGTCATGGCCACCACGCTGGAGCCAGGGGTTGGGTGGGACCTCGAGAATAGGTATTATAGGTGGGTTACACCCTTTTTTCTTTAACCAGTATGGTTGCAAAAGTTTAAAATTTTTTTTCTTTAAGATTTTATTTATTTATTTTTTAGAGAGAGGGAGAGAAGCATCAGTGTATGGTTGCCTCTCATGTGGCCTCCCTGGGGAGCTGGCCTGCATCCCAGGCATGTGCCCTGACTGGGAATCAAACTAATGACCTTTTGGTTTGCAGTCCGTGCTCAATCCACTAAGCTACACCAGCCAGCCTCATTTTTCTTTTTTTTTTTTTAATTTTTTTTATTGATTATGCTGTTACAGTTGTTCTATTCCCCCTTTCATTCCCCTCCACCCTACCACCCGTCCCCACCATTACCCCCCCTTTAGTTTATGTCCATGCGTCTCAAGTTCTTTAGATTCTATATTTCCCATGCTATTCTTGCCCCCCCATCTATTTTCTATCTACTGTCTATGCTACTTATTTTCTGTACCTTCTCCCCCCTTCTCCTTCTCCCACTCCCCTGTTGCTAACCCTCCTTGAAATCTTCATTTCTATGTTTCCACTCCTGATCTAGTTGTCCTTTTAGTTTGCTTTTGTTTTAGGTGTGGTTGTTAATAACTGTGAGTTTGTTGTCCTTTCACTGTTCATGTTTCTTTAACTTCTTTTTCTTAGATAAGTCCCTTTAACATTTCATATAATAAGGGCTTGGTGATGATGAACTCCTTGAATTTGATCTTATCTGAGAAGCACTTTATCTGCCCTTCCTTTCTAAATGAAAACTTTGCTGGATAGAGCAATCTTGGTTGTAGGTCTTTGGATTTCATGACTCGGAATACCTCTTTCCAGCCCCTTCTTGCCTGTAAGGTCTCTTTTGAGAAATCCACTGACAGTCAATGGGAACTCCTTTGTAGGTGACTGTCCCCTTAGCTCTTGCTGCTTCTAGGATTCTGTCCTTCATTTTAATCTTGGCTAATGTAATTATGATATGCCTTGGTGTGTGCCTTCTTGGGTCCAACTTCTTTGGGACTCTCTGAGCTTCCTGGATTTCCTGGAAGTCTGTTTCCTTTGCCAGATTGGGGAAGTTCTCCTTTATTATTTGTTCAAATAAGTTTTCCACTGGTGGCTGTGCCTTTCCCCCTTCTGGTACCCCTATAATTTGGATGTTGGAATGTTTAAAGATGTCCTGGAGGTTCCTAAGCCTCTCATTTTTTTGAATTCTTGTTTCTTCATTTTGTCTGTTTGGTCATTTTTTTCTTCCTTCTGGTCCACTTCCTTGATTTGAGTCCCAGTTTCCTTTCCATCACTATTGGCTTCCTGTGCATTTCTCTTCATTTCAATTAGTTTAGCCTTCATAAGTTCCTCTAATTTGTGACTAAAATCAACCAGCTCTGTGAGCATCCTGATCACCAGTGTTTTAAACTGTGCGTCTGAGAGTTTTGCTATTTTTTCATCGCTTAGATTTATAGGCTCTGGGGCTTAGAGATCTTCTTGAGCCATTTTTGGTCTGTTCGAGCCCTTTAAGTGTGAGGAACGGAGCCTTGGACTCCCAGGTCGCTGGGTTGTGACGCTGTATGTGTGGGCGTGGTCAGAGCAGGGAAATGGCGGCACCCTCTGCGGTTTCGTGCCGCTGGGTGAGGAGCAGAGCCTTAGGTGGTTCACCAGGGCCGGGCCACTCAGAGTCGCTGGGTTATGAAGCTGTATGTGGAGGTGGGGTCAGAGCAGGGAAATGGCTGTGCCCTCCCTGCCGCTTGCCGTGGGGACCGGCTGGGTCCCGGTCCAATCGCCCACTCCCTCGCTTGTCTATCCGCGCACCAATGTGCGACTACAGTCAACCCGCAGCCCTGCTCCCTCGCTGTTTCCCCGCGGTTGCTCGCTTGGTCGTTCACTCGGTCGCTCACTAGGTCCAACCCTGCGCCTGGATTCCGTCTGACCGAGTTTTCCTGTGCAACCCCGCTCCACCAGCTGCTGGTTTCGCCCCTTACCGGTCAGGCTGAAGAATTTGTTGTTAACGGACTTCCGAAAAGTTCAATTTTCCGTGTTCTGGCTGTGTTTTCTGTTGCTAATATTTAGTTGTCTCTAAACTTGGTTGTGTGAGAAGGCACGGCACATCCACCTGTGCCTCCATCTTGGCGGAAGTCTCATTTTTCTTTTAAAACATTTCTTCTTTAACTTCTGTTTTAGAACAGCTTTATTAAACTATATTTCACATACCATAAAACTGACATGTTTGGTGTGTACAATTTAGTGATATTTAATGATACTTAGAGTTATGCATGCATCATCCCTGTCTCATTCTAGAACATTCTCACTACCCCCAAAGAGACCCTGGTGCTCACTACTGGCCACTTTGTCCCCTTGCAAGTCCCCTGGCCCAGCTCAGTCTACTTTTTGTCTATAGATTTGCTGATTTGGGATGTTTCATATAAAGGGAATTACATAGCATGCAGCTTTTGTGTCTGGCTTCTTTTGCTTAGCATATCTTTCAAGGTTTTTCCATGTGGTGCCCTGTATTAGTGTTCAATTCCTTGGTGAATAGCATTCTGTTTGGTAAATGTGCCACATTTTGTAACCCTGCATCAATTGATGGGCATTCGACTTATTTCCACTTTTTGGCTATTTTGCACTTTAATGATTCTGTGCACATTCGTGTCCAAGTTCTATGCGAACACCCGTTTTCATTCCTCTTGAGTACAGGAGCGGAATTGTCCACTGATTTCTTTTACTGTGGTGTTTCATAGAGAGGGAACATCTAGGTCACAGAATACAAATGAAGTAAACTTGCGTGTACGTTTGTATCGCTACAGTAAAGGCCAAGAGAAGAACCACAGGGACTTTTTCAAACACATGTACTGCGTATCCATTCCCCTTCTGTTTGCATTTGGTTTACATGTGTTTTGATGCCCCTCACTCAGGAGGGAAGATGCTCCTCTCTTCAAGATATCATACCCAGCTGGCCGCAGTGGCTGTGCATCCTGATGCTCGAGAGCATTTGGCTGGCCTTGACGTTCTTCTTACCTGTTCCTGGATGCCCCACGTAAGTGCCCCTCGTAGGTAATCCCTTTTGGCATGTCCTTGTCTGCTAAGTCGGACCTTCTAGGGCTCCGCTTTCAAATTTCCCAAGTCAAAGGAATCCTCATTCACTCTTTCTTCTCCTTTGAGGCCTGTTTTATTTGGGGAGGAAAATTGGGTGAATGTCCAGAGGAGTGTCTGTGAGGTTTTATTCAGGGTCAGTTTGAATGGAAGTTGCCAAACCTTAACATATGGGGGGCAGTCGAGTCACAGAGCGTTGGTGTGAGGGTGGGGGCTGTTCCTAGGCCTGTACGGGGTCTTTGAGGGTCTTTGTCGGGCTGCCTACACAGCCAGTGTGTACTCTTCCCTCTCTGGCATCTTGTCAGTTAAGTGTGTGTTCTCACTCCCCCAGCGGCTACCTCGGCCCTGGCGGCATTGGAGACCTGGGGAAGTATCCAAATTGTACTGGAGGGGCTGCCGGCTACATCGACCGCCTGCTTCTGGGAGAGGATCACATTTATCAGCACCCTTCCTCGACCGTGAGTGACTCGGGCTTGCACTCAGAATGGAACATGCAGCAGCTCTGAAGGGAAGGAAGGGAGACAGGGCTGGGCAACTTCCAGTCGTGTCCATTTAATAAACTGTGATGGGAACCAGTTTTTATTTGAAAAAGGGACTGACCGTAGTGACTGCAGTGTTCGTCGTGGGGCAGCACGCAAACATTACTTCGGGTCTTAAAGCGAGAGCACCTTGTGTCAGTGTGCGGCCTGGTGCTTCTCTGTGTCCCAGGCCAGACTTCCTGGCAGCTGATGCTGAGACAGATTCAGGTGCTGAAGGTCTGTCAGGCAGGCATCCCTTGGAGGTCAACGCCTGCTGGGGAGTGAAGGGCAGAGGTAGCTGCTGAACTGCATTGCAGTCCAGCCAAGGCCTCAGCTGATCTCCTGGGGGGGTGGGGTGGCCCTTCGGAGTTGTTCTGAATTGAGGGGAGAGATTTGGCCCTTCTATCACTGGCTGGGTGGGGACTGCCCCCAGTAAGGGGTGTGACTCCTGAAGAGGCAGCTCTCTTCAGTCAAGGACAAATCCAGGAGAGGGTCTTGGCTGAGAGCTGTTGGCCATTGACGCTTCTAGCAGCTGAGGAATGAAGGCTTTAGTCCTGAAAGGGGTGGGGGAGGGGGATATTTGGGTGGTACATTAATACAGCATCCACCACACTATTTCCACATTTCTACACTTCCTACAATAACTTTTATAATAAAGTGATATGGAAGTGTTAAATATGATTTGTCTTAAAAGAAGATAGGAAATGCTGAAGTTACAGTAGGGCTGACCACAAAGAATAAACTGGGAAATGGTGAGGGTGTTGTACCTACTGTGTGAAGCTGGTTCGGGATGCATAGTGTTGCTGAGCTGCCGGGAGGCGAAGTGGCAGCGCTGGACTGTGGCGCAGCCTTGGTCTCTGCATTCCCTTCCGAAGGGCGCGCACTTTCTTGGCCAGAAGTGTTCTGCTTATAAGCCCCCGGAGTTGGCCATGGAGTTCTGCAGTAAAAACAAAGCCCGCTGAGTGTTGCAGGGCGTTGAAGTCTGTAGTTGGTCTGTGGGCTGTTGGTGTGTGTATGCGAGGTCACTGAGTGCCGCTTCTTGTCCTGCTCTGTTCAGGTGCTTTATCACACCAGGGTGGCCTACGACCCGGAAGGAATCCTAGGGACCATCAACTCCATTGTGATGGCATTTTTAGGAGTTCAGGTATTTGTACATTTCATCAGGAGACTCTTTCTGACTGCCTGTGATTGCCGATTCACCACTAATTCATAAACTATTTCATTAAAGTAAATAATTGGAAGCAGATCACCTTCTGTGTATTACAAGTCTAGTAAATTCTGTTTACATTTGACAGGTTGTCAAAACTAAAAGTCACAAAAATTCAGCACATTCAAATAATTAGGTATCATGTCTATATTCTGAAAGTAAATTCTTACTTTTTCTCATGGCTCTTAGAGATGGGCACAGCAGTTTCTGATAGAAGATTCCCTGCTGGACTTGGCAGAGGGTTTGGGTACCAGTGACCCTGGGAACTCACGGATGACATCTCTTCTTTCTTTTATTTTTAATTGATTTTGGAGAGAGAGAAGTGAGAGAGAGAGAGAGAAACATCAATTTGTTGTTCAACTTATTTATACCTTCACTGGTTGTTTCTTGTATGTCGCCTGACCTGGAATCGAACTCACAACCTTGATGTATCAGGACAACACTCTAACCAACTGAGTTACAGTCAGGGCTCCTGTCACATTTCTTTTGTGTACACTTTACATGGTTTCAAGTTGTGTATTTTTAAAAATATTTTACAATTTATTTGTTTTCGGAGAGAGGGGAAGGGAGGGAGAAAAAGGAAGAGAAAATACACAAGGGAGGGAGAGAAACATCAGTAGCCTCTTGATGGGTTGCCTCTCGCAGGCCTCCAAACGGGAACCTGGCCCGCAACCCAGGCACGTGCCCTGAATGGGAATCGAACAGGTGACCCTTCAGTTTGCAGGCCAGCACTCAATCCACTGAGCCACACTGGCCAGGACTGGCAGGATTCTTAGGCAAAGTTCAGATTGTACTCTTTTTAAAATGTTTCCCTGCCTGCAGTTCCACGCTGCCCTGTCCCTCTTTGATACCACCGCCAGACTGGACCATCTGGCAGGCCAATCTGATAGGGTCCCTTGGTACTGTTTTGCGGGGGGAAAGTGACTTTCCTTGGCTCCCTATCACTATGGGGGGAAAATGGCTCTCAGTCAGACTTAGAGTCAACCCGACTGTCACCTCCCCGCCCTCCCCGCCCTCCAGCCTTTCTGAATGACCCGCAGCACCTCAGGGGTGCTCTTCCTGTGTTGCACGCCTGCCCTCCGCTCTAGGACACTTCCTTTGAATGTCTTTCTCCCCGCAGCTGGTCCCGCGTGCCTCTCCCAGTCTCCACTAGTCCAGGGCGGGAATAACAGTGCCTTTCGCTCTGTGATTCCTGTGTCGATCGGTGTGCTGGCTGATGAGTCAGATGAGTGATTAAGATAATGGAGGAACATGAAATAAGAATATACCTTAGGTGATTCTCTTGGTCATTTTGTGTTTTCTTTTCCAGGCAGGAAAAATACTCTTGTATTACAAAGAGCAGACCAAAGACATTCTGATCAGATTCACTGCCTGGTGTTGTTTTCTGGTGAGTAACCGACATTCCGCCCTGAAAGGCCTTTTCTTCACACACACAAATTTAAAAGGAAAAAACGTTTAGCAACGTTGGTATATCAGCTGTCACCGTAGGCAGTGTTCTTCACTTGAATGACTGAGGGGAACAAGTCTTTAGACCTAAGTTCTCAGGTTCATTTTTTAAGGGAAATGTTGTTATAAAGAAGTCAGCGTTTGCCATCAGCCAGCCAGCCAGGAATGCGTGGAGAATCAGAACCGAGGTTTGGGTCTGGGTGGGGAGCCGCACTGGGAAGGTAACTGGCAGATGGTGACCGGCTTCTGGGTGTACGGGGCACGGAGAGGTTGTGAGGCTGACGGGGCTTTTCGCCCCTGACCTTGCATTCGCGTTTCCTCCAGGGCTTCATCGCTTAGCTTTCCTTCAACTCAGAGGAATGCTGAAAAGATGCTTTTAGAGAATATGTTTAGTCACGTGTCTTAAAAACTTTCTCCAGTTAAAAGCATGTGACACAGTTTTCAGCTCCCCTGCAAACAAATAACTAATATTTTTCCAATTTAGAGCATATTTTTTTTGAAATAATATAACAAAACTTTGACATCTTTCTCCCCCACCATAGGGGCTTATCTCTGTTGCTTTGACGAAAATTTCTGAAAATGAAGGCTTTATTCCAGTAAACAAAAACCTCTGGTAGGTGCAGAAATCAGGGTCATTTCCATGGTCGTGACTGGGCGTGCTCTCGTCCGCGGTGCTCTCAGGAGCCCCGGAACAGCTGGTTCCCCTCCCCTAGGTCCATCTCCTACGTCACCACACTGAGCTCCTTTGCCTTCTTCATCCTGCTCATCCTCTACCCCATTGTGGATGTGAAGGGCGTGTGGACAGGAACCCCGTTCTTTTACCCAGGTGAGCTGCCTCCCACCCCAGACAAAGGTCAACTTTGGTAGTGACCACCTGGCTGGCCCAGAGAGACCTGCCGAGCACGCCCCGGGCCGGGGCCTGGAGCCACAGCCCTGGTGGCATGTTCGCACCACGTGGGCTGAGGGAGAAGGCAGTGGGGACCGCGCCGCCCCAGGCCATGCAGCTGGCACTGGTCCACTCCGAAGTGGTCCCCCTGTTTTACCTACTTACACTGGTGTTTGGTATTGATACCTCAGGCAACGATTCAGGGAGTATCATTGAGTTTCTGATGTTTCAGGAATGGGGCGTACTTTCTGCCTTAATGTTAGTGCCGTGCTTACCGATGATACATAAGACATAACCAGAGATGATACCGAGAGATAAACAGAGCAGTCAGTGTATGTGCGGTTCTCCCGGGGACTGCAGGGCAGACTGAGTAGCTCCAACGGCTCATTTCAGCCCTCTGATCCCAGTAACAGTTACTGTCTTTGGACCTCGGGCTTTCTGTGAGAGAGTATAAGTCAGTAATTTTGGCTTTCCTTTCAGATTTAGCATTCAGGAATCACACTCTTAGGCGTATTTCCTAATAATTTTTTATGTAGTTTACACTTGAGTATCTAAGATTACGTGTCACTTATTGTTGGCACTAGAGGTGCGTGCTTTCAGTTTTCCGCTGCACTGAAGTCCAATGTCGAGAATTAAGTAGGAAGACACGATCGTCTGTGTCCCTCTTCAGGAATGAACTCCATTCTGGTGTACGTCGGCCACGAGGTGTTCAGGAACTACTTCCCCTTCCAGTGGAGGCTGCAGGACAACCAGTCACACAAGGAGCATCTCATCCAGAACATCGTTGCCACCTCGCTCTGGGTGCTCATTGCTTACGTTCTCTATAAAAAGAAGGTGTTTTGGAAAATCTGATCGCTCCAGCCGAAGCACACTGCTGGCAGACTCTCTGGCGGGCCTGGGGGGAGTGCTGACACAGCCTTTATCAAAGGGAACCACTGATTACATGGTCATGGGCGTGTATTGCCAGGTCATTGGGGAAGGTACTGATGTGCTCAGGCTCGTGGGCTGGAACAGGACTGCCTGCAAGTTTGGGACTTAAATGTTGGAAGGTAATTACCTTTCTCCCCGATTTCTCGGATGGCTTTCGCAAAGGCAGTTGCCACGGATGGGCATTTGCCTCTGTGGCAGATGGAACCGTGTAACTGATGTCCAAATCTCGCTGATCTCGTTTTCCTGCACACTGTCTGCGCCAGCCACGGGTACCGTTGTCTCTGTTTCAGCTGACTGTAAAGCTGACTGAGATGTGAGGTGTCATAATGCAGTGTAATTTTTTTTTAGTGAAATTTAATGTTTCAAAAAAGTCAGGGTAATTTACCTTTCAGGTCTGCAAGACATTGGTGGGTCCGAGAAAATGCCTTTCTGTCAGAAGCTATTTTCTTTTTTCCCTACTTGATAAAAAAGTTAAAATATAAATGTGTTATTCCCAGCCACTCTTGCTTAGTTATATACTTATGTAGCTATGTATTGCCGTGTCTATCAGTCACCTGTGTGCCCACCCACCTGTCTCTCTGTGTATCCACACGGTAGCTGGTTCCCAGGGACAGAGCCATGGAAGAGAAAAGCTCACTGTCTTGCATGTGGCTCCGGCTTCGCCGCCCTTGCCATAGAGGATGCCGGCAAGTCCCTGGGCCTGCCTGAGTCTCGGCTTCCTCATCCGTGAAGTGAGGGAGGTAGCGATGACCTCTCAGGTCCCTTCCAACTCTTATGACTCAGTGAGGTGGGCGGCATCGACAGCTTTTCCGAAATCCTTAGAAAAGTCGTTTTATTACAGACAGCTCTTCAAGATGAGCGATAACGCAAAGTTTCAAAAGCTCTCGTTGGAGTAAGTCTTTCCAGAGTGACCCTCCACAGTGGAGGCACCTTTCCTGCTGGGAGCCACCAACCCGAAGACACCCTTTCTCGGGAGCGAGGAAGGGAGGGCACCTGAAGAGAAGCTGCGCTTTTCCATGATGCATCATCATACTCGGGAGTTTTCCGTGAGAACTCCATGTTTAAGGGGAATGGGACAAAAGCTTGTGCTTTAGAGCATCCTTCTGTGGCAAGACGGGGCGTCCGGACATCGCTTCGTCGGCCGCCGCTGCCCAGATGCCTTCCGCTCTGTGCTTCAGCCCAGACTCCACCCCGAACCCTCCCCCGGCCTGGCCCTGCCCGCGTGCACCCCACCTGGACGTCCGCCAGCCTCCCCAGGCTCCCCTTCCTCCGCCGGTTCCCCAAATTCACGCCTTCTCCTCTTTGGCTTTTCCTAGCTCTGTGAGTGGATCATCTCATCGCAGGAATAAAGCTGCTGCCACCATCACTCACCTACCTCCATTATCCCCCCTTTTCCCGTATTTTAGCCAGTGCTGCATCTCCCGTCTCCACCTTCCGGTTAGCATCTTCCTTTTCATTGGCACACTGCCTTATTACTCTGGTCCAGACCCTCGGGGTTCTGTTCACACTGACCTCCCTCAGCCCCTCCTGTAGTCACTCTCCCTTGTCGCTGGATTAAGCTGTATGAAGCAGAGTTCAGAGCACATCACCGCTTTATGAAAACCAACACTGAAGCCGATACAGCTCTGCCGGACATACACGACCTTCCTCGGCTGAGCCCAGCGCACCCAGCTGCCTTCCCTGCCCCCAGGCCCACCCTGCTTACTGCAGCCGACTGGACCCCCGACCCCGTCACTTGGCCAGGACCTCCTTTTTCTGACCTTGATTATAGCCTTACTTTTCCCTGCATTACTTTTTCCTCTTCATTTCTCCTGTGTATGTTTGACCTGTCATTTTAGACCCTCTCCTTCAAAGGCACCTCTCTAATCTCTTACGTCATCCAAAGGTAATATTTTCTTCCTCTGGCTCCTTGTAGTACCTTGTCAGGACCAATTCCATGGCCCCATCACTTTGTGAGAGTTACTCGTGTACCTGTCTCGTTTCCCATGCTGGACTGGAAGCTTGCTAAGAGCAAGAGTTATGCCTTGTTCTTCTGCGTATTCACGGCACAAACACAGTGCCTTATACGTAGCAGGCACTAAATAAACATTTATTAAAGCAAAGCAAAATGGTGGCTGTCTTTGTTTTTAATATGAAAGTGCTGATAACATCAGCATCTGGTGTGCCCCGTGACAGTGGTCGTGGAGCTGAGGTTTGGGGAGTCATCGCTGAGGAAACCTGCGGCTGCCCTTCCCTTGTGGGGAGCCGTTATGGACGGTCACAGCTGAGTCACCCAAGTCTCAGCAAGTGAAGCTGGGCCAGCCTCTCCAGGTGAGGCGCCCCGAAGCCTTTCTTAAACTGGGGAGTGTATCAGGATGTCTTGAGCCCTGGGAACGGGTCCTGGTTAGGCCCAGTTTTAAGGGGATTCACCCCCTAGGAGAAGCCCTGAGGTGGGCTGGCTCCTGCGTGGCCACTTGGCTCTGCCAGCTCCCTCAGGGCCGTGGGAGCGCTGCTGCCCCGACACTCGGCCGTGGGACACTCGCTGGGTGGAGGGAGGGCCTCCCTCAGCCTGGCGTCTTTTCATTTTACCAGCCAGGCAGCCCTCCCTCGGGCCTCATAGGCCAGCAGTGTGTCACCTGACAAAAAAGCCAGCAGTGACGAGGGAACTGGTTTAGCCCATGTTAGGTGGCCTAGGTGGAGGACCATGGTTACCTCCTTGGGAATCCCATAGCTGGTGTTCGTCTTTAGTTGCCTAGTTTTAGACTCTTCACTTTTCCCCAGTGTACCCAGCCAATGTTTGTCTTTTGGTAATCAGCTTTCATTGGCCATTAGTTCCAAAAGACTGTTTTTCTTCAGGCCACATGCAATTTCCAAATTCAGCATTGATAGAAATGGTGCATGTTTGGGTCATGTCGGGAAATGCCTCGGACTTCACAAAGCCCTTCCCTAACCATGTCTGTCAAAACGTCGTGACGACAACGGTGCCGTCACACTGGTGCCCGTCGCCGCCTCCCACCTGAACTGCTGCTGCCAGGGCGCCAGCCTCACCTGCGTGTCGAACGCACGGGCCGTGTTCTGGGTTCTGCTGGAATTCTTCTGTGACTCCTGGGACTTTATAGAGACGTTGTCTTTCTGATTTTCCCACCTTTCATGGTCAGCTGTTTATTTTTCTGTCCTGTTACTCTGTCCTGTCTGGCTTGGAGCCACCCCTGTTCTTTGCCTGGTGCCGCACCATCTGGACATTAGAATGTTTTGTTTTGATGTGTGCTGCCTCCAAACACCAACATGAAGGTGTTAGAAAAGGCAGGCGAGCGTTTGCCTGTGGAGGGACGAAACTGGTAAAAACAACAGGATGGTCTGTATATTTGTACTCATTGCATTGATAAACACTAAAATGACCTGGAGGAAACATTTTCTGAGATGGGGTGTTTACTATTTAAACCATTTCACTGATTTTAGTCTATCTATAAAAGGTCTTTTCAGAAAAGATTTCTAAAACTTAAGCAAAGTAACTGAATAACTTAGTTCTTTCATTCTTAAAGAGCCCCTAGAAACAAATGTTTGTGTGTTTACCGACACGTTTCTAGGAGAGCAAAGATGAAAGTGGACCCAGCAGCCAACACTGGCCGAGCACTGACCAGCGAGTTGCTCTTCCAAGCGTTTCACGTGAAGTCACCGGCAGCCTTTCCAACAGCCACCTGTGAGGGACGTGCCTTTGTCTTTGTTTGTCAGAGAACAGGCTCAAAGCAGAGAAACTGTCCCTAGTACAAGGTGAGTGAAGGGCCACCCAGAGGCAGAGCTGGGTGCTGGGCAGTGCGGCCCACTGTCCCCACAGCTGGAGTCTGAGGCGCTTCCCCCGACCACCACTCTCTCTTCTACGCTGTTTGGCAGACGCTGCCTCACCCACCCCAGGGCTCCTTTAGCAAATTCATTCAAGTCTATTTTGGCATAAAGGTTTTTGGTATTAAAATTTCCAGAATGAAAAAGCCTAGTATTGTGCTGATGTGTAGTATTTAACCAAAACCTAACTCTGGAAAATCAGATATTGAGGTCATGGAAGGAATAATGTCTTTATGTAAGTAAAGTACACCCTTGCTCAGAAACTCCTAAGAATTAGACTTCCGCCAAGATGGAGATGTAGATGGAGGATCCACCTCGCCTCTGTGCACAACCAAATCTAAGAACAACTATTTTTAACAGCAGTCACAACCAAGCCACACGGAAAATCGACAATACGGAGTCCAAAGGACAACTAGATACTCGGCTGGACCGGTACGAGGAGCGAGGCCAGCAGCGGAGCAGGTTAGCAAGAAAAAATTCCCGGGGCGGGCGCGGTGCGCGCAGGCAACCGAGGGCGCTGATCGCCAGCCAGCTGGCTGCCGGAGCGCACAGGGAAGAGGCGCGGTGGGTCGGTCGGTCGCGCGCATTTACGTGTGGAGAAACCAGTGAGAAGGGAAAACCTCGCGGTGCAGCAGGCTCGCACAATTAGGATCGGATAAACAAGCCCGAGGCGTGTGAGTGACTGGATGCGCTGGGCTAGCGGAGAGGAACGCCATTGCTCCCTCTCTGACCCCGCCCCCACACACAGCGTCACAAACCAGCGACCTGGGTCGCCCCGTCCTGGTAAACAACTAAGGCTTTGCTCCGCTCACTTAACAGCACGAATAGACCAAAAATGGCTCTAGGACAACTCAGAGCCCCAGAACTGATAGACCTAAGTGATGAAGAAATAGCCAGTCTTTCAGATGCACAGTTCAAAACACTGGTTATAAGGATCCTTACAGAACTGGTTGATTTTAGTCACAAATTAGAGAAACATATGGAAGCTAAATTAATTGAAATGAATGGTGATACAAAAGATACCAATAGTAATGGAAAGAAAATTGGGACTCAAATCAAGGGAGAGGACCAGAAGGAAGAAAAAAATGATCAAACAGAAAGGAATGAAGAAATAAGAATTCAGAAAAATGAGGAGAAGCTTAGGAACCTCCAGGACATCTTTAAACGTTCCAACATCCGAATTATAGGGGTACCAGAAGGGGGAAAGGCACAACCACCAGTTGAAAAATTATTTGAACAAATAATAAAGGAGAATTTCCCCAAGATGGCAAAGGAAATAGACTTCCGAGAAATCCAGGAAGCTCAGAGAGTCCCAAAGAAGTTGGACCCAAGAAGGAACACACCAAGGCACATCATAATTACATTAGCCAAGATTAAAATGAAGGAGAGAATCCTAGAAGCAGCAAGAGCTAAGGGGACAGTCACCTACAAAGGAGTTCCCATCAGACTGTCAGCTGATTTCTCAAAAGAGACCTTACAGGCAAGAAGGGGCTGGAAAGAGGTATTCCAAGTCATGAAAACCAAAGATTTACAACCAAGATTGCTCTACCCAGCAAAACTTTCATTTAGAATGGAAGGACAGATAAAGTGCTTCTCAGATAAGACCAAATTCAAGGAGTTCATTATCACCAAGCCCTTATTATATGAAATGTTAAAGGGACTTATCTAAGAAAAAGAAGATAAAAAATATGAACAGTGAAAGGACAGCAAACTCACAGTTATTAACAACCACACCTAAAATGAAAGCAAACTAAAAGGACAGCTAGATCAGGAGCAGAACCATAGAAATGAAGATCTCATGGAGGGTTAGCAACGGGAGTGGGAGGAGGGGAAGGGGGGAGAAGGTACAGGAAATAAGTAGCATAGACAGTAGATAGAAAATACATAGGGGGGAGGGTAAGAATAGTAGGGGAAATACAGAATCTAAAGAATTTGAGACACGTTCATGAACTAAAGGGGGAAATGGTGGGGGAGGGGTGTGCAGGGTGGAGGGGAAGGGAGGGGGGAATAGAGCAAATGTAATGGCATAATCAATAAAAAAAATAAAATAAATTAAAAAAAAGAAACTCCTAAGAATTAATATAAATTTTTAAAACCTCCAAATTTAAGATGATTTTTATTTACAAAACAGGTTGATTCTGTTGTTTTACAAAAATTACAAAAAATGACTTTTAAAAAATAGAAATAGCTTCTCAGGTTCTTGGAAACTATCTGGAAGGAGTTAAAATGCGGATGGTCTTCTTCACACGAGGTGTAAAGCAGCGTTCACCGAGGCTCGGTGTCCTCCCGCACTCCCAGGGCCCAGCGCCCGGGCGCAGGGGCCCCGCTCAGGCCAGAGTCTGCAGGAGCAGGATCTTCTCGTTGATGCAGAACCTGTGCAGCACCGCCATCAAGTTCTCACCACAGCGGGACACCTGGCGCTCCATGGCCAGGCGGAAGTCCTCCTTCACACCCTTGGTGATACCCCGAGTGACCGTGTGATGCCTGAGGGCAGTGACAGGGAAACAGAGGACACCACGGTTAGCACCAGTGTCACAGCTCCCAGTGTCTGGGGTAGGAATAAAGCCTACCTCAAATCTAAGTAAAAAAACTTAAAATGAAAAGCCCTAACCAAATCATCCCCGTTGCCCATTCCTTCCCAGAGACTTAAAACTAGAGAGACATTTTCCCACTCAGTGAAAGAATATTTTAAAGATCGAAATGTTCAGTAAAATGTCACCTGCTTTGTTTGTGAACTCCTGTAGCTCTGACATTATGCACCCCTGCACTGATCTGTGTGTAATTCAGTTAGTCTGGGCCAGGGGGCTGCACAGCTGCAGAGGCAGCAGCAGGGAGGGCGGGAACCAAAGGATGAGTCAGCCACCAGCCAGACTGAGCTTAGGCACCTGGGTCCTTAAGCTGCTGCTCTGTGAACGGCTCAGAGATTGTGCATGGCCACCTGGCTGCAAGCCTCTCTGTCCCCATGCTGCCAGTGGCTCTAAGTGCTGAGGCCAGCCTGAGAAGCAGGAGGAGCTGGGGCTCCCAAGACACGGGTCAGGCCCAGGTGGGGAGAGAGAAGCAGAGTCACTGAAAGGCAGTCAGAGGCCAGCACACGGCAGAGCAGCTCTGGCCCAGGTGCTCGTGAGCCCAGCACGTTGGTGGGAGGGCCAGTGGGGCACAGGCAGGGTCTCCGACTACACTGGACACGCTGTGCTCTAGAGGGGGAAGTCTCAGAACAGTGAAGACACCAAAATGAAGAAAGGAAAAGGCAAATCTGGCAAAAATTCTGTAGGTGCAACTAAAGAAAGAG